GTTTCAATGGAGCTTACTCCCAGCTGCATTTGCATAGGATTCCAACTTTAATTGGTACTTGCATAAGTGCTTGCTCCTTTATAATATGGTTTCTCAGCGTATCAGCCAGAGTCATGCTTGAGACCTGCTTCAGGTTATTTCATTTGCAGTTTGAATTAGATGTGGCTGATTTTCCACAAGCTTTCAAGCAGACCTGCCAGGCTCTCATTAACTTCAGCTCAGCTGAACAGCCATGGATGGTGACCCACCAGGGCCTTATAGGTAGCTATATTGGTTTATTACCCAACTGACAGGCCACAGTATGTGGTAGGTGGGCTGCATTCATCTTGGTAAGTGAGAGTTGCACATGCCTGCTTTAGAAGTAGTAAGCCAGGTTTGAATCCTTTACATGTGAGGCCAAACTTACTCTCTGTGAGCATTAAATACAGAATTGCAGAAGAGGACTGACTTGATAAGGATATATAATAATGCCTTTTAAACAAGCTGCGTTTGAAGGATCAATGTGAGACCAGGCAGCATTTTATTTTTGTGGGCCTGCAGCTGTTGCTCAGACTTCCTGCTTTATCTCAACAAGAAAACTGCTTGGCAAGACAGCTGGCTCCTAATCTTTTTTTCTCCATTTACATGTCCGAGCATCTCCTTAGTTCCATTTTGACACAGGCTTAAATAGGATGTAGGATGACATGATTTATTGTATATAGTTAGCTTTGCTAATTCTCCATATATAGGTGGAATCCAATGTGCAGGTAGATAACTAAACAGTATGAAAAGAGGACTGCTAATATTTGAATTGTGTGTGTTACAACTTTACCCATCTGACATACTTAGATGGGTATATTATTTTTAAATAGAAAACAATATCCTTAAAACATAAGTCAAAATAGGCTGAATAATGTGCAGGTTAGTAAGAAACAGTTTTTTAAAAAAATAATAATAATCTGCTTTTCCTTTGTGGAAACACCTGGATTATCTCACTGGATAATATGCATAATCCATTATGCTTTACCCATATATTTAAAATAAAATCTTCAACATATTGTAGATAACTGGATTCTCAGAAGCATAAAGCAGCTGTTTACTATTAATCACTTCTTATAATTCTTTTATGGCTTTTAAGTATTTCATATTGCAGAGAATATAGGTAACATAGATTTGCTGTGGGGTGCGGGGAGGAAATTTGCTTTCTTCTTCTCATCCAGCTACTTCTGGTCTAGGATTACAGCTCTGATATTTTTGTGTTGAGTCTTAAGTTCTTCACCTTTACTTCCTCAATGCCGCGATGCAGCTGCCCCTAGAGTGGGGTCTGTTGTTCATACACAGATAGCTTACCTGGTGGCAAGATGCAGCCATCTCTGGGGTGGAGAAGCTGCCTCTTCACCAGGGAGCCCTGTCGCAATGGATCTTTCACTAGATGTTGAGACGCAGCCGCCTCTAGGGTGAGGCACAGCCAAGCATTACAGGACACTGGAGTACGTTTTCAGTAGACCGGACACTGACCTGGCTGGTTTTTGTCCTTCTCCCCCTCCCGTAGGGTTCACCACAGCGGCCTACCTCAGGGTCCACGCGGTCAAGGACCACGGACTGGCCGCCCCGCGGCTGGAGCGTTTCCTTTGCAAGCTGTGTGGCGTGCACTGCAAGACCCCGGCTCAGCTCAACGGGCATCTGCAGACGCACGCAGGAGAAGGGGCTGCGGCCACTGAGGGCCAACCGCTGCGGTGAAACGCTGGCCGGGCCACCAGGCAAGAGCCGCTTCCTTCTGTCCTAGGGAATGGGGAGGGGAGGCCCATCTGCCCCATAGGGTACCCATGTGTCCTTGTATTCTCAGTGGGAGACGGAGAACCCCATCTCCCCTGGGGCGGCTGCATCCTAAATTAGCATCCCTCTGCCAGTGTTTAAGTGCCTGCATATTGCAGTGCCTGTCTTGGTTTGGATGCTTATGTGTGACTCAGGATCCTTTTGCAGGTTCATCTAAAGAGGATAGAAGCAGGATTAAGCTTTCTTTTTTTTTTTAAATGAAAAGGTGCACATAATCCTTTGAATGTTTTATTTATCTGAATATTGTTTTATTTTTCCAAAGTCAAAGGAGTTCTTGTACTTTTAACAAGAAATATAGACTACTATTAATATTTTGAAGTTAGCAACAGACAGGGCACATTGATGGGTGTTTTGTCTCCTTTTTGCCCTTCATTACTTTGCCTCCTGTCCAACATTAGGCGTAACTGTTGCTTTTGAGACACAACTGATCATGGGGCAGTAGTAAGTGAATCTATTCCCATGAGATGCTGTAATGTAGTGGGAGGTTTTCTAGCCTCATTCACTGCTATGGATGTATTCCCTATGTATCATGCATCTTGGAGAACTGTGAGAGCTGGAGTCCCCTGAGAAAACTTTCCTGTGAAAGTTTAACCTTTATTATGCATTAGGACAACAATTTAAGTGATAAACCCCAGTTAGCTGTATTGTCTGCGGTTAATTTCAAGTTAGAGCTAGTGAGTTCTTTCAACCTTGCTTTATTTTTTAGCCTTTTAAGGAAGGGAACTTCCCTGCAGGACATGGATAAATATGGTGCTTTGGAGGAAGGGGCAGCTGCATCCATCTCTTTCTTACTACGTGAAACCAGCTGTGTCTTCTACTCCAGCTTACAGCAGGGGGAGGGTGGGAGGAAGCAGGCTACACAACTGTGTTAATTAGATTTCTGAGGGTGAGAAACCCCTTTGACTTTGTACATCTGTCTTCCTCCACAGGTACGGGTGAGGTCTGCCCCCTCGCGGCAGCCGTCTCGGCCCCACCTCCCGCCGCCGTCACGGTGCTGCCCATGGAGGGAGCTTCGGTTGTGAGCCAAGCCCTCCCCACACAGCCCTGGTGATTTCTGGGAGTGGGGGAGGCAGAAGCCGACCCTCCCAGTCCCATCCCTCTCCCTCACTGGCAGCTGGAGCCTCCAAGCCCAGATGAATATGCAGTGGCCATATTTGGGTGTTTAATTTAATGGTGGTTTCATTCATTCTCTCCCCTGCCTGTGCTCGTAAAATAGTGGTGCTGGGAAAGCACCTGCCCAGCCAAAGCAGCAGCTCTTGTTCAGAGGGCCGTGGAAGGGCTGTGTGTGCATTCAGAGAGCACCCTCGTTTTATTGACTCCCCTGCTCTAGTCCCCTTAACGTCTAGCCCCACAAGAGTCCCATAAACCCATGCACCCTCTCCTGTCCTTAGCCAAATAGCTACAGTCTTCGTCACCATAAGTCTCTTGCTCATTCCAGCAGTGCTCCCCATTGCCCCTAAATCAGCTACACAAAAAGAGTGAGACAATGGGACAGGAAAGACTTAGAAGCTCAGCTCAGGAACAGAATGAGGAGGGCTCAAGGATGGGATATCTGTGGGACAAAATTGTGGGGCAAGATTGCAGCTGGTGGCGGGGGGCGGCCAGAGTTGGGAATAGAGTTGTGTTGGTTGAGGGGTTGACAGAACTTGGGAAACCCAAAAAGAAGTTAGAAGGGGGATGAAAATCAGGATTGAGGGGCATTGTAGGTGCCAGGAGCTCAAGTCTGGGGTGGCAGGGGGCTGCAGTGGGATGGGATGGAAGAGGATTGGATTTCTCCATGGCTTCAGTGTGGAGTGCCCTCCATTCCCCTGCTGAGGAACTGCTCTGAATTTCCCTCCTTGCCCAAGCACCTCATTCTTTCATGGTGTCTGTTTTAATGCTCCATTCCCTGAGCTTCTCTCGTGATTCGTGTTCCAAGCGTGTCAGCCCCCCACACCAAGCATTGATGCCCCACCCGCTGAAAACCTTTCTTGTTGCATGCAACCCCCACAGTTTGGGGTTAGAGTCCTCGCTTTTTTGTATTATATATATTAAAAAAAAATCCCCTGACATTTAAAATAAACTCCCTTTGTGGTTTTTTTTTGTTTTTGTTTTTTGTTAACACAAAATGTAATGAAGCTGTGTCCATCTATCCTTTCTCCCTGTTCCCTCCCTCACCCCACATCTTTCCTTCTCCCGTGCACCCTTTCTGGATCTGTGTCTCAACAGCAAAAGATTTTAGTAAAAACATTGAAGGAAAAAAATCCACACTCTTGTCTGTTTATTGTCAGACCGTTTCTGTGTCACTTTGAGTGTAAAGGGGGAAGTATTACGTTTGCCGGTCTCTCTTGCTCTGCCTACCTCCTTACACCATCAGAATCTCCTCTCAGGACCTTTATGCCTATTTAAAATGTCTAATGGATCTGGCACCAGGTCGCAATTCTCAGCTCTAAGTGGGTTTCCCAATGCACTTCCTTGCTTCCTGTGATTACCCAGGCGGATCTCTTCTCTTTTTTTCATGGTTGCTGCATCAAACTCCCCTTTCTAGGAGAAGGAGCAAATGCTGCCTTGTGGCTGGACATCTGGGTGGTGGTGGCGGTGGCGGCAGTGGCAGTGGGGTTTTTTACTGGTTGGTAGACAGCAAATGCTGCACTGGAGCTGTGGCATGGTGTGAGCGAGGCGGGTTAATTGTGGGCTCTTTCCTCCCTCCCTTGTGCAGCAGCCGGGGCAGGTTATAAATAATGGATGAGAAACTGGAAGCGAGAGATTTTATATAATTTTCTCCCGGAGGGGGAGGAGGGAGGGCTGTGGAGCCAGGATTCCCCAAAAACAGATTGGTGCAGAAAATTTCCCACATCATCTTGCTGAGCTCAGCTGGGCGGAGGGCACAGTTTCCCTCCTTCGCCCAGCCTGGGGTCCCCTTCAGTCCCACACCCTCAGGTCCCACCCATGGGGTCTTCCCAGGCACCCTTCAGCCTCATCTGCCAGCTCCCATTTTTATGCAGCACACATTGTGCCTCTGGGCAGTCCCTGAGGAGGAGGAGGCAATGGTGGCGGTGCTGGGACTTCTTAGTCCTTTGATGCTCATTGCACTTGTGGCTTGCTGACGTGAAGTTTTGGTCTATTCCAGGGGGGTTGAGGTGGAGAGGAGATACAGAATATGTGGGACGCTTCCAGTACCAACACCATTTCTGCTAATGTCTTGCCCCCGCCCGATCAGCTGATTCTTCATAAAACCCAAACCACAACTCCCTCCCCCCAACCTCAACCAGCTTGCCTTGAAGAAGCAGGGTCGATTAGACCATTTGATGCACACACTCGTGCAAAGGGAGGGGAAGGGGCGTCTTTGCAGACAAAGCTGCCGAGTGAGCAAGTAAGAGGGGTGGGTTTGTGGGGGGGGGGAGGGAAGGAAGGGGGGCGGAGGCTGCATTTCCCCATCTATTCCTCCCTCTGAAGCCAGGGAGAGAAGGGGAGGGGAGAGAAGGAGGGATACAGCAGAAAGGGAGGGGTGTGATGTGTGCGTAAGGGGGGGCACTAATCCTGCCAGCCATTTGCCCACCCCACCCCCTTCTGCCAACTGGACACAGCCGGGAGCCCAGGTAGGAGAAGAGAGACCCTGCCTTGGTCCATCCTTAGCCCCCCAAACTCTCTTTATCTATTTGTCTAAAAGGATAACGGTGCTGCGGCAAGCGGGCGGGGGAGACGGGGGGGGGGACTGAAGGGAGCAGGCGGAGATGGGTGTGAACGGGAAAAGGGGAGCGGTGGGCACTCTCCAAGGGGTGACGATGGAGATGGGGGGCTGGAAGATTCACGGAGGCATCTGGCGGTGGGGGTGTAGGGATGCGAAGTGAGGGCGGGGCAGCAGGGAGTAGTGGGTGGGGGTGGATATGTAGGGCAACCGAATCCCCTCGCCGGCTGCTGGTGTCATCTATGGGCACAGAAATGGGAAAAAGGGAAAGGTGCAGCGCGGAAAAGGAGGGCGGCAGCGGGAGGGAGGAGGAAGAAGGCAGCTGGTTTTGGGGTTGGGGGAGATGTTGGAGGGTCTCGATCCCGTGTGTACGCGCGCGCGTGTGTGTTCCTTAACGAGAAATGGGTCGAAGAGTTGGACGAGCTGGCTCAAGGAGGTGGGAGAGGGAGGCTGAGTGTGGAGAATCTCTGGCTCAGCCTTGCTCAGAAATGGGTGTGAAGGAAGGAGGGCGTGAGAGGGAAGTTGGAAATAAATGGAGTGGGGAGGGCAGTGGGTGTTTAGGAGGAGACGTAGGGGGCAGAGGGGTGGGCTGTGGCAAGCCTTTGCTAAAGCTACAACCCGATACTCTCTTTCCTGGAAGTAAGTCCTAAGGAACTCAATGGGACCAGCTGCTGTGTAGTCCCGTGCAGGATTTCCCCATAAGTCTCTCTGAAAGGGGTTTTAGTGAGCAAGGGGGCAGTGAATGGCTGGCAGGTTGGAGAAGGGGGGTTGCTTTTCCCCTTTGAAGCTGGGGACCGGGGTGGATGTGAGGAGGAGGAGCAGATAGAGGCACGTCTCGGAGTTAGAAAAGGGTTGCAAGGAGCTGTCCTTGGTAGCAGAAGGCGTTGGTCGTGTGGTCTAGGGAAGTCGGGTGCGGGGAGTGAAGTCACTGGGCGGAGGGGGAGAGGGGGGCGTAAACAGTGAGGCAAAACAGGTGAGGAGGGAAGGATTTGTGGAGGTGAGCTCCCACCAGGGGTAAGATGAAGGATAGAAGCGGGAGTCCCCAAGGGAGGCGGTTTGGGTGGTGGGAAGGCGATTGTGGATGGATGCTGTGAAGGAGAAATTGCCCCTGGTACAAGAGGGAGAAGGAGGGACTGTGTGGGGCTTGGGTGTGTGGAAGCAAAGAGAGGGGCGGTTCTGGTGTGGGGGGGCGCCAAGGTGGGTTTGCCCAGTTGGGTGTGGTCTTAGAGAAAGAGAAGGGAGGGAGGGATGTTGCCTATGTAAAGCACAGAACACATTCACACGTGAGATCCTCTGTCCCAAAACAGGTGATTTATCTGAGAAAGGGAATGCCTTCCAAGGTAGGGTCAAGCACTATCTCTCTGATGTGTGGCCCCCAAACTGGTTTCCAAGTTCACTCCCCAGCTACCTGCAGTATAAATGAGACTTAGATTATTTTATGATGCTTGCATGTTTTAATGTACAATAATTCCCATTCTGTTTGGCAGAAGAAGTTGTCGGAAGACCAACGGCTCTCCTTAAGCCACCTAATAGGTCTTTGCAGCAAGCATAACGTGTGACTTCTTGCGGTGGACTGGCAAGGGACAAAGCACACAGAACTACCCTAAGTCAAAGGAGAGTCTGCATCAGCACTATGCTCTGTGTGTGTGTGTGTGTGTGTGTGTGTGTGTCTCCTCTTCTTATAAGAGAAAATGCTTAGCAGTGGACCAAGGATGTGATGTAATGGCAAGGCTGTGGGTGGGTGAAGGAGAGAGTGGGTGAGACCATTGGTGACTTGACCACGGGGCCTGTCAGGATGATTTCAATGGCGTATGGCTTCAACAGATGGGGGAATCAGATTCCCCATGGCAGATCCTCCGTTTGAGGAAGGCAGCAGCTGGTTGCCAGAGCCAGTAACTGGGAAGGAATTGTTGAGGTTGTCAAGCACAGAAATCGGCTGGTCAGGCTAATCGGAGGTGTCAGGCAAAGACCTCTATGTGATGGCCCAGGATTTACTGCTGTGGTTACATCTGCTGCACAGCAGGCAATCAAAATGTGTGCAGGGCACATGCAAGTGTGTGGAAATAAGGTAACGGTTTTAAGGATCAGTGTCCATTGCATTGGGGTTTGTCATAAAATAATAATCTGCCTCGGGAACAAATCAGGTCTCTGTGCGTCTGAATTGCACAAAGTGGTGGCCGTGCCACATGTCAGCCTTCTCGGTGTGCCTGCTGAATGGGTACTAGAGAAATTGTGTGGATGCCCGTTGCACTATGTGGATCAGCAAGGAGCAGGATGTCAAGCACAACTGCCTTGGTCGTGTGGAGGTGTTCCATGCCTCCGGGCTCCATAATAATCAGATGGCTGTGTCAGTCAGAGAATCTGTTATGGCATCCTTGTGCCAGCCAGTGTTTTAATCATGTTGTCTGTCTGTGTCTCGTTCAAAGAGTGTGTCAGTCAGGAAGCAGGAACATGGTAATGAGAACCAGTATATCATGACAATTGTTGTAGCACTTTTTTAAGAGGGGGAAAAACCACACATCCCTGCCACTCTTCCCTCTTACAAACAGCAGGACTAAAACAGCTTTGGAGAACCACTTGGCCAGATTGTAGGAAGAAATGCATGAATACAGCCTCCTGCATCCTTGACATATGGTTTCCTAACCCATTTATGCCTCAAGAGAAGAACTCTAAATTCCCCCCGGTTGTTGCTTCCCTCCAAAGAATATATTTCATATTTCCTATTAATTTCAGTGGTGCTTGTGCAGGAAACCCTCCCAATGGATTGTGGTCTGAAGTCTGAGCATAATCAAGCCAAAGTCTGCCTGCAAATCGTATGCACATTTACCTGTGAGAGTAAGTTCCATTTGAATCAGGATCAGTCCCAGTGGTATCCACAGGGAAATTAGTACAGTCTGTCAGCTGTGGGGGAGCTGCCTCTGGCCTGTAGGTCAGAGATGGCCCATGGGGCTTCCCCATCCATCCTATCCCCTCCCCTCTTCTCCCTCCCATGTGATTTGGTGCCCTTCACATAGTTAAGGTTTCCTTTTTCCTCTCTACAAGATCTATACCAGCTCCCTCTAGCTTCTATTTTCTTCCGATGATCCATGCCCTCTCCCTCTCCCTGCAACTGATCATACCTTCTAAAATTGCATTGCCTTTGCACATTTTAACATTGCAGTATACTGTGTCCAGGCCAAGCGCCCCAGATCTTTGAGAGGTAGGTCAGACCTGAAAGTGCAGAAGTTGTAACATCTTTTGTTGAAGATTATCAACCCACAGCATCACTCATATGGTCTATCCTCTGTCAAAGAACTGAATTGAAGGAAGGGGGAAAGAAGAGGGGGACCAAGGTTGGTCAGTTCCCACCCTGAAATTTCCTTGTGAAGACTCTGGTGGAAAGGGATTTAAGGTGAGATTAGTGATAACTCACCTAAACAGAGGCTAGCATGACCTAGGAAGGAGTCTGATGGAATAATTATGCCTGCCAAGATTTAATTTCTCCTCTGCAGAATCAATAAATTTAAGATAATTCAATATGGTTCCAGCCCCTACTGCTCCCCTCCAATACCAACCCGCAGTTCAATTCTGCATACACATTCCCTGTATGTAGTGAGAGTCTGCTTCTGTTTTGCTCATCTCACTGTGGCGAAAGATGCTCTTGGTTCTGCATACCAGTTCTACGGTCTCTCTCCTTGGATCAGATGTGAACTGTCCTGATCATTTCCAATTCCTGATAAGCCGATGCAAGGTATTTGTTACACTGGATGTTTTGGAGTTGTGTGTGTTTGTGTGTGTCCTTTGACTTGGTTTCATCTGACTTTGTGAGCTCTAGGGTGCAGTCTGAAGGCCACCACTCAATGAAACTAAGCACATCTGGGTCTGGTCACTGCCTGAATGGGAGATCTACATCATATTGAATTCTATGGTGGAAGAAAAACAGGATAGAAATGTAAATAATCATGCATACAGCTCTGCTTTTGCACATTCATTTGGGACCTTGTGTCTTCTGATAATGCTTTGCACTTAACAGCCTGATATATGATGAGAGTCTGCTTTGGTGTTACACAACTATAGAGGCACTGCAACATGTGCCAGGGAAGTGTCCCAACAGATTACAGCATGCCCACTAGGAAGTACAATTGTTTGTTTGTTTGTTTGTTTGTTTATGTTATCACGTGTGTCTCTTTCAAAAAAACAAAACACCTGCACAGCGACTTACGGTTTTAATCACAAAAACTGTACGCCAACAAACATCGATAATGATAAAAGCCACAACAGTTTTAGCAGGAGCTTAGGCCAGCAAACAAACAAAGCATAACAAACCAAAGGCTTTCTGAAAAATAAACATTTTAGCTCAGTTTTCGGAAGACGGCAGGGAAGAAACTATTCACCTGCCTCATAAAGAGTTCCCAGAACATCAGAGCTGCGACTGAGAAGACGCTGCCCCTATTTGGGAGTGAATCCAACCTCTCCGTAGAGCATCAGCAACAGGTCTTCATCAGAAGATCTTAAGAGTTCACGAGGACTCTAAACCTCTAGGATTTTAAGGTCCGATGTCTCAAAACAGGTGAGATTTAAGAACAGTCGCATACATCTGTCTGCAGGTGGGCTGCTGCTGCTGCATTTTCCGCTAGCTGAAGTTTCCAAGCTATCTTCAAGCACATGTGGAGGCTTCAGAGGGCTCTAATCTGGAAGCCACCAAAGCATGCACAACAGTGCCTTCATCTCCCAGTGGTAGGTGAACCACCGTAGCTCAGCTGGAAGAGCATCTGCTTTGCATGCAGAAGGTCTTAGGTTCAATCCCCAGCAGCTCCAGGTAAGGACTGGGAAAAGGCCCCTTCCTGGAACACTGGAGAGCTGCCCCCAGTCAGTCGAAAAAATACCCGATGGTCTGATCTGGTCTAAGGCAGCTTCCAGGTATAGGTGGCGTATCAGCCAAAGATGAATGGCGGGTCCACTTGTTTGCACTGATAGCTGTGGTGCAGGCAGTCCAGAAAGCCAGTTTACGCAGGGCATTTTTAGAAGGGAATGCAATAAACACCTGCTTGCAAATATGCATCATAGAGGTACATTTGCAAAGGAGCTGCCTTTGGCTATAGGGCCCTGTCAGGGAGTCCGTTATACGTGTGAAGTGGTCCACTGACCAGAGCCGCCAGTTTAATGCCTGCTATTTTCAGAGGGCCAAAGCGCCCCCACCATACTTCCGTTTGTACTTAGCCCTTCTCACAATTCCTAAGAGCTGTGCCTTGGGCAAGAGGATGCCTTTAGTTTTGTGCTTGTCCTTGATAATAGTTGTTTTGGTGTGTGTTTTCAAGTGGGCTAGTGTTTGCAGCTACTTTATTGATTTAAAACGGGAGCATTTCTTTCTTGTTTGAGTTCCATTTCTACCTCCTTTCAAAGACTGCTTTCCCCAGTTTTGTTTCTGGAAAGAGAAAAGCATAGATATTGAATTTGGAGTGTTGGCATTAGGAACGCCATTCAGGGAAGGCAGGGACGGCCCCATGTGATGGAGCACTTAGCTGCTCTCCAGCCCATTCTCTGGTTCTGTACGCTATGCAGCCTATTGTTAAGCAATGGAATAGAGATGCATACAAGGTGCGCTTGCCAGAGATCTCTTTGCATTCAAAAAGGGTCTTTATCCTCTGTGAATAAAAACTGTCGTAGTTACTGTGAAGTATAAAAGAAGAAAAGAATCACAACATAGATTACACACACACACACACACACACACACACACACACACGTAACAGTTTTCCTTTATGCAATGGTATGTCTTAAAGTATGTGTGCATGTTGTTGTTTTTTTGTTTTGCTTTTTGCAATTTAACTAGGAAGGTATCCACAAATCATCTGCTAGGGCTTATCTCCCAACCACCTAAATCTCTTACCCTCATCCACCCGCTACTGAAATCTGAAATGGCACCTTGAGTTTATGCTTAACATTACTCGCCTTACGGGTTTGTTGGCAGGCTCTTCATTAAGCATTCCTCCAAGTCCATTTCCAAGGGCAACGTAAAAGCTGAATCTGAATTTCTGCCAAATAAGAAACTAGGCGAAATTTAATATGAACGCAATCTGTGGAGGAGGTCCTGTTAAGTGTGCCACAGGTTCCCTAGGTCCGCTAAATGGCACTGCAGGGAAGACCTCCTCCATGCAGGCGCCCAACTTGTGTGAAATTAGTTACCTCTGGAGATGTGCCAACTGTTAGGTGGTCTCACTGGCAACTAAAAACACACGTCTCCCACACAAGCTTCTCCGTGAAATGAAAGGCGGAATGCAAATGCTTTTCATAAAGTAATAAGTAGTTTCTTAGTCCTTCTTGTAGATTAAAGGATCCGCAGGGGCTCTTTAGATATACTGGAGCCAGGTTGCTCTCTCAGTAGCAGAAGGGCTGTGTGCATCACTTAGATTGACATGTGCCCAGCGCTAGAAACTCAGATATATAAACAAGGTGTCAAATGGCACCTTAAATCTAGGTTACAGCCACCACAATGGAATGTCTATTTTCCAGCGGGTTGGACTGGATGATTCTCGGGGTCCTTTCCAATGCTACAGTTTTTGATCCTATGATCTCATCTACGTTACATGACTGTAGCTTGCTCTCACAACAATTCACTTGTCCCAGTATGCAAGAAGGAGAAACACGCACAGTGGAAATGGAAACGGAATAAACAATGGACTAAGGCAGAGGTTTTTCAACTGTGGCCATCAACCTGGCGCCCATAAATCTCCACATAGTTGCTATTGGAACCACACCAGTAGCAAAACGCACCTGGCGCCTGGCTAATTTCTAACAGCACATGTGCCATTCAGTGGAATGGCAATATTGGGTTGTGTTGATTGGAAAGATGGTGATGATAGTGATGGTGTGTATTTGGGTGGTGGGGCCAGCTGGATCATGAGGCAGAGTGAGGAAACTGCAACAGGTGTCACAGGGGGGTGGGCAGTTGTATCAGTCCTTGACTGTTCTTCATAGCTGTCAACTTTCAGATTTGAAAATAAGGGATCAGCAGCAGCCTCGAAAATAAGGGATCAGTAGCCTCACCTGTCCCGGGGACAGTCTACAGGATATCTAACAATCCGAGATAGCAGTGGGAAGCAGTGGGAAACAGCACTGGAATAACGGAATTTCCCGCAAAAAAAGGGACGGTTGACAGCTATGCTGTTCTTTCTGAACCTCCCAGCCACCTCTCTCTGTTGAAGGTAGAGTGATGTATGTCACATAGCGCCCTGCTAAACTAGCCTGCTGACTCAGATGTGAGTCCCATTGTCAGTGCTGAAGTGAGATCCAGAGGGGATGCAATGTTTTATTTTGCCTCAGGCAGCAGAGTGTCTTGGGTTGGCCTTGTTGAGTGAGTGTCCTCACCTGGGTGGGTGCCACCCATTACACAGTAAAAATAAAAATGAAATGCTGGGCTCAAGATTGCTGAAAGAGAAGGAAATAAATACTAACCCCCAATCTTTGGTGTTGGAAGACCTGCCTGAAGCTACTTAGGTGAAAGGGAAAGCACGGAATTCAGAGGAATTCTGTTCATATTTTAGTTTGTATTATATGATATATTATGAAATAATTGTGTCGTTAGAAAGGCATGTACAGTAGCTATGAATTATTGCTCTATGAATAGCACCTGTTATGTTATTCCATATATAGGAGCAATTAAAATAAACGAAAACCTTGCATCCCAGCTGAATTAATATTTCCCTATAATGCTAAAAGCCATTCACCTTTCTTTACAAACCAAGCATCATATACTTTATTTCTCTTGAGCACGTGTCTAATAAGAAGTAGCAATTTTCGCAGCGACGTCCCAAATCCTATAAAAAACCAATCACGTAGAAGAGAGGCGATGTCATTTCCTCCCTCCCCCATATGCAGCTGTCACAATTTTTCCAACCGTTGATCAGTTGGTCAACCTTTTTGCACATCAGCCTGATCCACACATCGCTTCAGACCAGGGGAGAGGGCAGTGCTTTTGCCCCCGGGGGTACGCAGGGGTACGCATACCCCTAAACATTTTGTGAATCTAAGTTTGGCCTCATTGAGGGGCAGTATTTCAATACGAGTAGGAAAATGAGAGGACCCCTAAACATTTTTTTAAGAAAAGAAGCACTGGGAGGGGGCATCTCCAGCACAGCCAGGGATGATGAGAAATGGAACACAACCACCTCTGAAGGCCGTCAAGTCACCCATCCCTGCTTTAGGCAGCTCAAAGGGACACTGAAGGCTGCTAGGGGGTTGGAGGACTCTGGGAACTTGGCTGCAAGTCGAGCAGCGCTGGTCCATTGGCCCTGGACTTTGGTTCTGCAGATCAGACCCAGTACCAGGCAGGGAGGGGCAAGACGGCTGGTTCTCCACCCTGAACATTCCCCCTCCTCTAATTCTCCTCTAACCCAGGTAGCTGCCTGCCATGTCGGACGACGCTGAGAAGAACGAGGCTCCCCCAGAACAGGAGCAGCAAGGGAAGGAGGAGGAGAAGCAGGAGCCGGGGAAGCCTGAGGATCATGCCCAGGAGGAGGAGGAGGAGGAGGAGGAGGGGAAGCCTGAGGAGCAGCCCAAGCCGCAGTCCCCACCTAAGAGCCCCAAAGGCCCAGAGACCCCCGCATCGCCTGTGATGGTGACGGTGACCATTGAGGAGGAGACGGTGGGGGAGCCGCAGGAGAATGGGGACCCCCCGGGGATTAGGGCTGGCTCAGCTGAGGAGATAGGGACCACCCCGGCCCCACCCACTAGCCCCCCAGCCCGCTCCAAGTCGGCGTCGTTGAATGACCTGAAGCCTCAGAACAGCATCAATGGCGGCCCAAGGGCTGTCGCGAGGGGCAGTTTGTCCGGGTCTCAGGTGCACTTAGCGGGATCCGCGGGGTCTCCCCGGGCCAGCCTGAGCCGGCAGGCCTCTGCAACAGGATCGGCAGCCGGTGAAGCTGGGGAGAAACCCAGAGACTACATATTCATTGCTGCCCTCTCCTGTTTCTGCCCAATCTGGCCTATCAACATCGTGGCCTTTGTGTATTCTGTCATGGTAAGTGCAAAAAAGGGAGTGGCGCCTCTGTGTGTGTGTGTGTGTGTGTGTGTTTGGTTTGTGTGTCCTGGAACACTAGGAGAGCCACCTGCTGCTTTGATACACTCACCAGCACCAAGGCTGTCCCCACAATAGCGCTTCCTTGTCACTGTTCTCTTTCATTTGCCCCTTGAGGCTGTGGGTCAATCTCCTCCTCAGCCAAGGAGCAAGGCCACTAGCTTGGAAGTGGCTCAGTCTGCTGCTTAAAATCTCAGACGGGAGCACCTCCTCACAGGTAAATCTACCCACACAAGAAGGCAGTCTGGGACACCTCTCCAAGAGTCGTCCAACCTACTGGAAACTTTCCTTCAGGTCTCCTATTTGGTAAAACCCACTAAATGTAATAAAATACGTTTGGCAGCTCATGCCAGCTGACCATTCACAATCCACCCAAATCCATTTTGAGCACACACTACCACCCTACGAGCTGTGCAATCCTTTCCGTGTCTACTCAGAAGTAAGTTCCGTTGAGCTACACGAGGTTTACTTCCAGGTGGACATAGGATCACAGGCTTAAATTCTGTTTTCTTGTGTCTCGTTCTTCCGTTAGGAAGCTCAGAGATTGCTTCTATCCAAGCAGCAGCCAAGAAGGATCTCAACTTCTTGGCTTCTTGCCATAGCAATAGGTCCTCTCCCAAACCCCATGCACTGATGCAGAAGAGGTCAGGCCATGAGTCCCCCTGGCTGCTGTCCCCTTGAACTGACAGCGGATTGACAGGCTCTTTGGCAAAGGTCCTCCCTTCACCTGCTGCCAGAAATGCCTTTCGTTGAAGGTGCTGAGGACCCAGCCTGGGACAGCCCAGCAAGACTCTCACCCCACAACCCTGGCTTTTCCCCAGCAGCCAGCCAGGTGAGGCAGTGGGCGAGGGCCCCACGGGTTCAGAAGGGCCCCTCACCAGCCTGACCCACCTCTGCTGCCATTCACACACACACACCCCCGCTGACCCCCTGGATGGCTGTTTTAGTGGTATCGTCTGTGGTGACTGCCTGCTTTCTTGATGAATATGGTGGCCCCAGCCTATAGATCCAAGAAATCTACAGCAGAAGGCAGGGGCTGCTGCTGCTGCTGCTGCCATAGCGGCTGAAACAGAAGCACACACTGCCTTGGGTGTGGGTGTGTGTTGGTGGCACCACGCTGAGGGCCCCCTGAGTGTGGGCCCATTTTCCTCTGACAATGTAGGCAAGTGTAGAGTTTTCTCTTTCAATTCTCCCTGTTCTTCCTTTAACCAAAAGGCTGTATGTTAGGACAACCACCAAACCCTTGCTCCTTTTTTTCTTTTTCTTTTTTAATTCCTTGCCAGTCCCGGAACAGCTTCCAGCAAGGAGACATTGACGGCGCACGGCGCCTGGGACGGGTAGCAAAGCTGCTGAGCATTGTCGCGTTGGTCGGGGGGGTGCTCATCATCGTGGCATCTTGCGCCATCAACTTCGGAGGTGAGTATCCCAAGAACCAGGGGGTGGAGAGGACTCTTGTCCAAACATTTTGTCCTTTAAGCTCTAACCCCCTTTCCCAGTCTTCTGCTGCAGTACAAAGAAACCAGCAGAATGGGATTCCAGGGATTTTTGGGTTTTTGAAAAAGTAACATTTGTGATCAGTTTGGCCAGAGAAGGGCTTGGCAAAGCATTATGGGACGTAGTGAGCCTAGGGATGGAAACGCAAATGGTGGCTCATTTGCACACATGCCACCTAACAGCCTATTTCGGCTGGATCCTGATTGCCTGAGTGCTTTTGAGGGGGACCTGTGACCTGTGGAACACCATCAGGCCAGAGGAGAATATATTATTCTTAGAATCCTTAATATTGCTGTTTAAAAAATCAGCATCTGCCACAGCACCCAGCACTTAGTCACAGAAGTATTGTTTTAAACCAATTTTACTTTATAGTCAAGGGGTGTATAAATTTTATGAAATAAATAAACAGATGGTGCAATTTCTAGTCAAGAATATATGTTTGTATCAGATTGTGACCTCTCTCTGAGCCAATGGAATAGAGGGGGCTGCTTAAAGCAAGGGGAAGCTGCTCCAAATTGGCTATCTTTGTAAGAGTTGCCCTTCTTAAGAGAAAGGCTTATCAGTGGAGCATTAACATACATATATAATGCAGGTGCTAAGTTAATTCTGTAGCCAAAATGGGGCTATTGAGAGAAAAAGGGGGAGGGATCAGCAAGTTTGCAGAATTTTGCAGGAGATGATGTTGGGGGGGGGGGGAGAATAACAGAAAACTCCATTAAGCCCCCAGCCTGAAGGAGCCCAGGAAGGGCTAAGCATGCTCAGAAATCATGAAATGCTGAGTGTCTGTTTAGGGAAGCTTTTAATGTTTAACAGACTATTGTATTTTAATATTTTGTTGGAAGCCGCCCAGATGGGCGTGGTATAAATAATAAATTATTATTATTATTATTATCTGTTGGGAAGGAAAGACAAGGGTGGATGTGGGATGGAGGAGGCATGGCTGGCTGGAACACTGAATATAGGGAGCACCCCACGCCACAACATTTTGTTGCCAAAACTCAAGAAGAGTGTGAAAGGGTTTTTTTTTTTTTGAGGGGGGGTTAGAAACCAAATCAAAGAAAGGGACTGCCTCTCCTACCCCTTTCATATCCTGCTGTGTACACTTACAAAAGTATTTTGAGAGTTCAGGAGAGCAAGTCAGGATCACTGTTACCTGAGGAGTGAGGCGAGTTCCATGCCTTCCCTTCTCAAAAGAAAAGAGCTTTTCTTTTCCTCATAAAGTTGTCCCCAACACCTCCATTTTCTTCCTGACCCTCTGGGGAAAATGGCAGCTTCTTGAAATGGTCAGTTTTATCCCTTTTGCTGTATGCCCTGCTTTTCATGTCCTCCCTTCAGAGCAACCCCCTCCCCGGGCACAGCTATTGCTTCTTTCCCCCCAAAAATATTACACATTATCCCAGATATGGGGAACCTGTGGTCCTCCAGATGTTTTCTCCAGATGTTACAGCTCCCACTAAGCCTGACCTTTGACCCAGGCTGATGGAAATGGAAATCCCAAAAACATTTGGATGGCTACAGCCTCCCCTCCCCTGGCATTACACAGTGCTTTTCATAAGGTTATGTTGGCCTTGGCCTTCAGCCACAACCTTGGCCCTAATTCTACGCAGCAGGCCATCTTCATAACTACCAGTGTCTCCTCAGAACCCTTTCCCATCCTAACTTCCCTGCTTCCTGCTGCCAGCATACCTAAAGCAGGCAAAAACAAAAAAAGGAGAAAATAAGTGCATCCATCAGACCTTCCCCTGACGTTGCCTCCTTAGCCTCCATGTTGCTTTCCCAATGACCTGTTCCCACATGCTCCAGATTCTAGTGGAAGCCAGGTGTGGGGAGGTTGAATTGGGGCATGTGTGAAAATGTTTTCCCCTTCATGTTTCTTTCCAGGTAGTAAAAATCTCCTTCTTCTGTTCTCCTTCCCTGTGTTGTTATTCCGTTCCCCCAACCCCAACCCCAACCTGCCTTGCCCCTGTCCCCCCCCCGAATCCCTCTCCTTCCCCACCCGAACCCCTCAGTGTTCCAGTGAAGGCGGCACTCAACTTGCCACTTCATCCCTAGCACCGAAACCTTCATCTTTGGAGCTGGGAGCCAGCATGAGTACAGAACATCCATCCCATGTCCCCATCCATCTCTGAACCATGCAAAAACAGGAGCACAAGAACGGAGACGAGAGAGAGAAAGAGAGAGGGACACGAGAGAGCGAAACTGAGAGAAACAACGTCTTTGCTTATGCTTGCATGTGTCCCATCCTTCTAGGGATTTTAGCTAACCAAAAATAAGGTGAAACAGGAGAAAGAAAACAAAAATTAGACGGGGATGTATTCTCATCTCCTCTTTCCTCTCCGCCATTTTCTCCCTCTCTCTCCCTCTCTCTCACTCTCCTTCCATCCATCCAGTCATCTGTTCAACCAATGACCCATCTGCCCATCTTCCATCCACTGCCAAATTTCGACAGCAAATAAAACTCTTTCGATATTCCATGTTTACAAGAACCTGCCGGAGAAAAGCTCTTTTTCCCCACCCCCCTGGGAAGGAGGTGGGGAGCATGTTTACATGTTTGCTGGGAACAAATGAACAGAACCAGCAGCAGCAAGAGAGGAAACACTTCTTAGGTCTCCTGCTCTCATCCGTCGTGTTTACAAAGACAGCAAGCAGGAACAAGCAGGGAAGAGCCCACCAGAGCCCACTGAGCGTTTTGCAGGTGGGAGTTTGTAGTAGTGAGTTAACTGTTGCGTCAGAGGAGGTTTGTTAACAAGAAGGCCAAAGCTGCCTGGATTTGGTGGCACACACACCCACACAGGCATGGAGGTTGGCTTGTATAACCGAATCCATCACCCAGCCACTCAACAGGAAAGAGAACGGCAGTGAAATTTACGGTATTGGCTGGAGAAATGAATAAAATCAGTGTCGAGGGAATACAGCTCTGAGCAAAATGTTTCCAACAAACGGGACCGGTGGAAGTTGGAGCGTGAAAGTGGAAATTGCGGACGAGGCAACGGAGGAGAAAGAAGGAGCCAAGGGCCTTGCAAAGAAGGGAACAGACTGGTAAGAGTGGTGGTGGGTTTTATTGGGGGGGGGGGAGGTGACACTACTCTCCAAGCTGAAGGCGCAAGTACAAAAGAGGAAGAAGGAAAAAAGGGCAGCTCAAGAAGTTGGAAGAATGGCAAATGAGCCAACAGGGGAACAGGGGAACAAAAACCCACCAGTCATGAAGGAATAGACCTGGTACTGCTGCATTTTTACATGAGAAAGTTGCTGGAATGAATGAAACTGGGAAGGATAGAGAACAGTATTAGTAGGCACCCCATTCAGAAAAAAAAGAGAGAGATGGGCCAAGGTATCTCTTTTTCCTCTAGAAGACCAGTCGCTGGCATTAGAGCAGGGCCACAAGGTGTTGGCTTGCATAGGGTTCTTCAACAGGGAAAAGGAAAGCGGAACATGGGTCTAAATGGAATCAGGAAAAGGCAGGATGTCTAGCCGTTTCCGGAGGGGTAGCCTTGTCAGTCTGTTGCAGCAAATGCAACAGGAGAGGTCTGTGGCCCCTTAAAAGAATAATGGTGTCTTGTGGCTTAAGCTGTCATGTACAGATGAATCAAGTGGTAACCTGAGTTGGCAGGCTCATCTAAATGGCGGGGTGAGGAGTGAGGTCAGAGCGAAACATAATGCAAACAGTTCAGATTGTGACAATGACATAAAATGTAGGCAAACTAGTTGACAAAGTAGTATTGATGATAACACCGGGATCCTGACCTTGGTATGCCAATTAATACACATAGCTTACCAATGCCAGGATGCAGGTGTTACCATCAACACAGCTTTGATGATGCATTTATTTGGGCAATGACAGCTGTCACAGTCTGTACTTTTACAGCACATTTCCCTCCGATCTTGCTCACCTTTGTCCACCCTGTCCTGTCTCCCAATTATGTATACTCCATTCTTCTGATAAGGTAGACTCTAGTCTACAGAAGCTTATGCAGCAATAAATTAGTCTTTGAGGTGAGACAATCCTCTGTTGTGTTTACAATTTCAGAGAAGCGGGGATGCCTACACATGGCATTTTGAAGTGTATTTGATGCGCCACAGGCATGCGCATGGTTTTTGTGTGGTTTTCATGATGTCCTTATCCAAAGGGCATCCTGTTTACCCCAGACCCCATTCCCTGTGTTTCTTCTCAAACCCAACTTAACGTGGTAAAAGAAAAAAGCACAATAAATAATAAAGTTGTTTTGTTGCTTTTGCTGCAAAAGACTAAGGGCCCTGTGGCACCTTAAAGGCCATCAAATATCATGGCATAAACTTCCACAAACTACATTTATGCCATAATACATTGGTTAGTCTTTAAGCTATTTTGGTGTCTGTCATGTTGGCATATGTGGCTATTTAGGAGAAGCGAAGCTTGGCTGAACACTGATTAAGAGAAACTGAAAGTATCCAGTTGGGGTGGGAGTCAGCTGAGACATTTGCTTATTTATATCCTGCCTTTATCCCAAGTTGGCATGGATTTAGGGCAGCAACAGGGCAGATTGGAGCACACACAAGAGGCAATGGAGGCAGTTAGGAGGGCATAGAAAGCTGTTTAGGCCAAGCCCTTTGGCATTAAGTTCGCCGGCCACACCAGGAAATCTGAATGTGTTTGCTCAGTTCTGGCACGAGGCCATTTTTGAAAGGCAGAATGGATAGGGGAGGTCAGCAATCGCACACTCGTGACAAAAGAAACAGAGCAGGAACTAGGGAGTGAGAAAACACCAGGGCCAGGAAAAGAGCCTCAAAGCAGAAATGTGTGAGTGAGAGAGAGACAGAGAGAGATGTGTGATAAGACACCCCCCCTCCCTGAAAACAAGTTGAAAAACTGCTGGATGGGGAAAGTTATATACACAGAATTGCAGAATGAAAGGCTAATGTATGAGATCAGCTGGTGGTGCGAGAGAGAGAGAGCGTGGAATGGGCAAAGGAAGCACCGAAGGCTACAAACTCCCTCTGGATGTGAAAACGACCCAGGCCAGTTTAAAATCCGCTGGAAGAGGAACTGTGTGTGTGTTGGGTGTCCGGTGAAGGGAAGCAGATAAGAGCGAGCCCTGCGGAGCGAAAGGCTGGAGAAGAGTGTTGAGACCACACTGGTAAGCGGAGCAACAGAACACGAAAGGGGCGCCGGTAGAGGAGAGTCGAACTGTACTTCACTGACGGAGGAATACACAAGAGAGCATACACTCCATACCAAACGACAACAACAACAACAACAACAACAACAACAACAACAACTATTTTTAAAGGGCCCGATGGACAACTGTGTATGCTACTGGACAGAGACAACTGGGTGGGTGGGGTGGGTGGGGGAAGGGCACCAGCAAAGAATTGTGTGTGTGTCAGACACGAATTTTCACCCGGCACAATGTGACTAATTTTTTGCTTTGTTTCTCAGACTGTTATTCAATGGGGCTGGGGAGGGGGGGATATAGGGGAAGGGGTGGTATAATGGCTTCCTCCTTTAAAATCTGTGCTTGGAGGATGTCACAGGGCTTTATTTAGGGTGAGGGGGGTGACCTTAAACTCCCCCCTCGTTAATCCCATCTGCACGAATTATTAACCTCTGACCTTCCCTCAACTATCCCTCAGAAAAATAACAATTTTGCTCTCCCTTTGATGGGTGCATGGCGTAGAAGGCAGGGCAATTTTGTTGTTTTTCTCCCGCTTCCTGGAGACTGTACCTCTCTAAGGTGGGAAGGGATGGCAGGGGAAAGCGGTTGTATTTTGATGTTGAAATGCAAGTATTCTAATCTGCATGTTTTTATATGCTTATATTTGGGGGGGAGGGAAAGTTGAAGGGGTGAATCAGAAACTTGGAAGGGAGGAGAGAGCTCAGAGTGTACTATGGTGTGAAAGTCAATAGGAAGGACGGCTTTGAGGGGGAAAGGGGTCAGGAAAGTGGTGAGGGGGCTGGCAGGTGAATGGCGGTCTCTTAGAGGAGGGAAAATAGGGTTCGGTTTGGTGGGAGATGGAATACCAGCGGGACCAAAATGGAAGGAGAGGTGGGTTCAGCGGGATTCAGGAAACCCAAATCTCAAACAGGACGGGGTCAGGAACAAGGAATTGTTTTGGGATGGATTGCAAATAACAGGGAAGAATTAGAACTTCGCACAGGGATCAGTAACTGGGGCCTTCTTAGTTATAGCCAGCCCACCGAGAGGGAGGTATCCAGTCCTCTCTAGCAAGAAGGGCAGTGGATTGGCCCACAGTCCACTTGGAGAGAAGGACCATTGTCCTGCAACCACCATCCTGTAGCAGCTAACTCCAAGTGACCTGCTAGGTAGAATCAACTGCTGATCTGAGACTTCAGATCAAAGTTGGGGTCCACAATGCAATCTGAAAGGAAAGGTTCCATTGCAGCAGATGTTCTCTCAAAGCTACCTTACCCGTTGCCCCTTCCCACCCACCCACCCCCGGTCTACAAAATAATCTGTTGCCTTGTTTTACACTCAAAACCATGCTTTAAACCACCACCAGACCCTGGGGGCCAGGAGAGGGTGGGGCACGAAGGGAGGTTAAAAGCAGAATTTGAGGAGGCGCCTATGGAACGATAGGAGAGACTGTTTGTTGGGGGAGAGGGGTTTTACATTTACACGTATCAGTTATTGAATGAAAAACCACATAACCTATATCTTTGACATGATGCTTGATAGATGTTTTCATATTTGGGGTGGGGCAAAATTTTGGATGCTGAAGAATGAAGTTTGCTTTACTATTATACAATTCGGGGCAGGGTGAGGTTTTTAGGGGGGAAAGAACAAGAGGGAGATTTTATTTTGTATTTCCTTTCCCCCCCGTTTTTGAGACGTAGTTTAGTTTTTCACTTCGTGGAGCACTAAGTGTGCCTTCATATGTAGCGGCGTTGAGGAGGGAACAGGAAACGTCACAGCCTGACACTTCATATCCCTCTGCAACACTGTCTCAGTGAAAATATAAATTTCCACCATCTTTCCTGATGGGGAGATGTGGAAACAGGTCTATTTCCGCCAGGAGAACCGATTTCTATCATGCCATCGTTCCAAAAAACAAATCACAGTTCATTGTTTTCCATATAGCGCTCGTAACATAATGTTGAGCAAAAATGGGTAAGCACTTTTATTCACTAGATTTGCTTATTTTGTAACTTATTTGTTACTGTTCATTTTTCTGCTCGGTTCTGCATTATTTGTGCCTGCTAATTAAAATTATTATATTAAAAACAGGAAAGGGTGGGGTCTTCCTGAGTCTGGGACCAATCAAATCCTTTCATAAGATTCAGAATTTTGTTTTGGTTTTTTTTTTGTGTGGGGTGGGGGTGGGGAGTTCCAAGAAATATTACAAATCCTATTATCAGTTTGTATAAAGATATGGTGGGTGGGGCGGGAGAAGGTCAAATTATAAACTGCTACAGATTTTTGTATCAACGCATGAATCGAGTAAATAAACTCAGATGCATGAAGGCCGTGTCTGTCCCTCTTTCCTGCAAAGCTTTTGTGTCTGTGCCAATTCTCTGCCCAACAAAAAAACTCACAAGGAAAACTGAATTTACCGTATTTTTTGCTCTATAAGACTCACTTTTTCCCTCCTAAAAAGTAAGGGGAAATGTGTGTGCGTCTTATGGAGCGAATGCAGGCTGTGCAGCTATCCCAGAAGCCAGAACAGCAAGAGGGATTGCTGCTTTCACTGCGCAGCAATCCCTCTTGCTGTTCTGGCTTCTGAGATTCAGAATATTTTTTTTCTTGTTTTCCTCCTCCAAAAACTAGGTGCGTCTTGTGGTCTGGTGCGTCTTACAGAGCGAAAAATACGGTAATTCAGGGTGGTCCAACACGTAGCCCTTAATGTCTTTTCTGGTGGCCCTCTGCAACATTTGCGCACACACACCCACCCTGCCACAAGTCCTTGAACTGCCTTCCCTAAGCCAGGTAAGGAGGCACGAGATTCTGGCAGCATCCTAGAGCCTCCTGCCTCCTTCCTAAAGACTCAAACTGCCCACATAATCAAGAGTGTGCAGTTTGATCAACCTCATCCATGAGATTAGGATCCAGGACCAAATCTAAACATACAGAGCACTGTGAGCACTTGACCATATTGACTTTCTCAACCCTTTCAGAATGCAGTTAAATTCAGAGCTGGGAACTGTGGCTGAGCAACCCGCCCCCAACAACCCTGCTATTCTTCAAGATCCTTATATAAAACCTCCCACCAAATTACAAAACACACACAATCAAATGGTTACACAGTTGTCTTTATTACAGCAACTCCCACTCCGTTGAGAGAGGGGGTGTCTTATTGCACCAAGTCTTAATTTTTAAAAACCTACATACAAATTACACACCACTGGGGGTTGTGAGGGTGTGGCAGTGACGCTGCGAAGGAGAGGAGAGGACATGGCAAGGTAACAACTGCTCCCCATCCGGCAGGAGACAGCACGCGACAATCCACAGAAGCAATAATTACCCTCAGCACCTGTGCGTCCCTCTGCCCCCACCGCACCATTTGGATGAGGGAAGTTTCTAGCAAATAATAATCTAGTTTGGCTCAATATATGAAGACATGGGGCAGGTTACCTGAAGTTGGTTTGCTCCAATACAGCTGCCAAGTCCTTAGTGTCACTTCAGGTCCTTAAGGTGGTTTTTCTAAGATGGCCGCCAAATCCCATCTCCACAGTCCCCGTCATTAGTCACCTCTATCTCCTCTTGTCAAAAGGAAGAACTGGCTTTTGTGGGGAGCTGAGAGAAGGAAGCTTTAAAGTGGATGTGGGGAACCTTTAGCCCTCTAGATGATGCTGAACTACAACTCCCATAATCCCAGGTCATGCTTGCTGAGGCTGATGGGAGTTGCAGTTCAGCAACATCTGGAGGGCCAAAGGCCCTACTTGGTCTTAGGAGTGGCTAGGATGGCTACCATGTCACTGTAAACCTAGCCATCACTGATAATAACCAAAAAAATCATATGGAGGAAAACAGAACTGTGGTGTGATATGGCAACTTATGTTCATGCACAAATGATTGAGGAAAGGGAAGAGAGGAAGACAGGTGTGCAAGGACAGGACCCAGAATATCTCAGGGAACTACCAAGAGCTCAGAAACAGAGGGAGAAATCCACAAATAATTGCCCTGCCTTCAGAGGAAGAAAGGACAGAGAAGCCAGACTGGGCAAGATGGCTGCTAAACTGCCCAATGTTTACCCAACATTCAAATTCTACTGCACTCTTTCAAAATTGCACATGCATGATTGAGGGGGAAAGAACAGCCAATCTCAACTATGGTCAGTCTGAAATTGCGTGCAAAGAAGATGGGGAAAGTTGTGTGAAGAAACAGCGGGCCAAGGTAATGTTCAATAGCAATGCTACAAAATGGCTCCTCTATGCCCTGTGCTCCTCCAGGGTATTTAGAAGCCTAAAGCTCCATGTAGCAAAAACAGCCAACAACAGCAGAAACATGAATGCAGATGCTCCCACAAGCAAAGCATTGTGAGAAGGTAAGCAAATCTGGTAGCAGGATCCAAATGGCTGTTTACGGCCAAGCATGTCTAAGCAACATGGAACATTGGCTAAAGCAGATGCAGAAATTTACGGCCAGAGATAATCTTAAAATGGATAATACTGCACACAGAACTCAAGCCTCAATGGGGCTTCTTTCCTAGGAACCTAGGATAGTCATTTTCAAATGTATAATCCAAATCAAATGGTCACCAACTGGCCAATCCATTTGCTGCCCAGGCTTAGATATACTTGGGAATTTTGGGAATGATATGGCCTCCTAACTCAAGAGCAATACTCCCATGGACTTTTAGGAAACAAAAAGGTACTTCTTTTGTGGCTGAATTTTGTCCTGCCCCACCCAAATATACAGCAAGTTTTGAAGCACAGAAACCAAAAAGCTGGAAACGAAGGTCTATTTAGCTGCCCTCAAAATGGTCGATCCAATCCCTCCATTTCAGCCCACAGGCGAAGTCAATATTCCTCCCTGCCAGCCAATCTTCTCCTAAGTGCAAAGCATCATGGGAATGCAGGAGGGAGCCGGGAGGAGCAGGACGTATTCCCATCATCCTATACATTCGTGGGAAGGTGGGGTCATCGCATCAAGCAAGAGCTGTGCATGTGGAGTGGCTAACCCTGTCACGGCAAGGGATGGTAAGCTGGTCCCACTTCAAGCGTGAAAGGGAGTGGTGCTTCTGCCCCTCCGCTGGGGTCGTTTGACGCTACTTCCTCTTCGCGCGTTCCGCAACGTCCAGAGCAGCCATGTTGCACGAGGCGCAGATCAAGTGGACCAGGCTGATGAGGCTCTTGGTGATGGCGATGGGGGCAGAAACCCACAGGACCAGGCGGTAGAGACCAGCCTGTCCGGGCAGGACTGGAAAAAGAAAAAGGGGGTGGGGTAAGGAAGGAGTCCTTTGAAATGCCCTTTGACCCCTAGGCATCGTCCCTCTGGCTTAGGATACTCACTTTCTGGTCCTTCCCCAAAACACAGCAAATAGAGCATGCAGTAGAAGAGCTCATTCCCAGCGCACATGATGAAGAGGACAGTCTGGAAGGAGGAAGCGGAGGAGAAACCATGTCAAACCAGGCTGGAGAAAAGACAGCAAAGAGAAGCTACCTGAGTGGTTCCGAAGGGCGTGCCCACTGTACACATAAGAATGTCAGCTCTGTTTGGCTGCTAGTTTATTCAAAAACGTGTGCAGACTGCAATCGCCACTAAATCAGGTTACAAGCATGCAGTACAGCATCATGTATGTACTGTATTTTTTGCTCTATAAGATTCACTTTTCCCCTCCTAAAAAGTAAGGGGATGTGTGTGCGTCTTATGGAGCGAATGCAGGCTGCGCAGCTATCCCAGAAGCCAGAACAGCAAGAGGGATTGCTGCTTTCACTGCGCAGCGATCCCTCTTGCTGTTCTGGCTTCTGAGATTCAGAATATTTTTTTCCTCGTTTTCCTCCTCCAAAAACTAGGTGCTTCTTGTGGTCTGGTGCATCTTATAGAGAGAAAAATACGGTAAGTACCACTGGTACTACTAATACTACAATCCAAGAGGGCATAGCTGTCAACTTTTCCCTTTTCTTGCAAGGAATCCTATTCGGAATAAGGGAATTTCCCTTAAATAAAGGGAAATTATGTCAGCTATGTCAAGAGGGAAACAAAGTTAATATAAGTAGCAGGCACATTATGCCAGTGGTCGGATACTCCCAACACTTTGCAGAAAAGGGCAGCCTTGGCCTGCCGTCTGATGACCAACAATGAAGGAGTCAGGTGGGTTCTCTAGGAAGAGAGCTCTATTGCTTTGATGCCATCATAGAGAAGTCCCTGATCCCCCAGGGCAGGGACCCCGAGGGGGATCTTAGGATACAGACAGCCTCATATGGGAAGCTGGACTTGGAGGTGCATGACAACTACTGCGCAGCTGCAAATATCCCCTTTCTGGGCATATTTCAAGGTGCTCAGGAGAGGGATGATCATGCAGCTCCAGACGTTTCAGGAGGAAGTGGATTATCTAGACATCTTCCAGCTTGGTTTCAGGCCTGGTTTGGGGAATGAAGCCATGTTTGGTCAACTTCTGTTGCTTTTCCAGCTACAGCCATTTCTGGATAGAGATAGCCTGGCTACAGCAACACTAATAACCTTCTGACTGGATTACTGTAACGCACTCTATGTGGGGCTGCTGTTGAGGACAACTCAGAAACAACTTTGATTTTGTTTTGGCACTAGCTTAAGACCTGGTTAATTTGCTCAGGCATTCTGGAATTGTTGCCCTTATCAACTTAATAGTGTAGCAACTGGCCCGCGTTTTAAGTTTATTTACTGTCTTTATCCACTCTTGATTTGCAACTGGGGTTGCTTTAAAGATCCGCGTATCCCGTCCTGAGATCATTTGATATAAAGCGCATTACAAACAATCCTGGAACCAGATGACTTTTAAACCAGATGGCTTTAAAAGATCCAAAAGAGCACTTTAAAAAAATCAGGCCTTGAAACTGACTGGAAGCCAATGGAGATGCTGCAGAAGTGAAATATGAAACACTCTCCCAAACTCTTTCCAAACTTTTAAAATATGATACAACGGCCACAAGCCCTCTTCGAGCAAACAGCTAAATCTGCAAGGGACCGAGTGGAAATTAAATCTCCCATAGTTCATTGCATACTGCGGTATATTTTTTAATGACATTGAATGGACCCTCCCTTTCTGTTCATACTTTTCAAGAAGGCTTCCAAATACAGGATTTGGGGTGGAGAGTGGGGCCGAACTAGGAGAGAGGGAGGGATCTCCCAATATAGATTGTGAGACTCTGATGGTGGAGGGGAATGAATGGGGCAGTATTTTGCCTTAGAGAAAATATGATAGCAAGTGATATTTCTATTTTGATTCCAAGGAGAAAGGACCCGTAGGAAGCAGCGGAAATAGAAAATTGCTCAATTACACCGGCCTTGCACCAACAATTCTGATTTCCTTTGCGTTTACTGAAAGATCTGGCTTTTTTTTTTTTTTTTGTAGCTTATCACATTAGGTCCCCCCCCCATCTTCTTGCTTTATTTGTTTTGTCATTTGTTCAATAAAGCTTTTGAACATACTTTTTTTTTAAAGGGATGGAAGCCTGGAGAAATGTAGTAGGAACAGTTCAGAGAGAGGGAGAGGGAGCGGGGGGGGGGGAGAGAGAGAGAGACAGTTCAGAGAGAAGGAGAAAGAGAGAGTTCAGAGAGAGGGAGCAGGAGCGGGGGGAGAGAGAGAGAGTTCAGAGAGAGGGAGCAGGAGCGGGGGGAGAGAGAGAGAGTTCAGAGAGAGGCAGCAGGAGCGGGGGGGAGAGAGAGAGAGTTCAGAGAGAGGGAGCAGGAGCGGGGGGAGAGAGAGTTCAGAGAGAGGGAGCGGGAGCAGGGGGGAAGAGAGACAGTTCAGAGAGAAGGAGAGAGAGAGAGAGTTCAGAGAGAGGGAGAGGGAGCGGGAGCGAGAGAGAGAGGCAGTTCAGAGAGAAGGAGAGAGAGTTCAGAGAGAGGGAGCGGGGAGGGGGGGAGAGAGAGTTTTCTAAAAAAATTATCACTCACCCGGGAGCTGTAATACACCCGCAGGATTGGATTCCCTGACAAGTCAATGGTCTTGTGGCTCTCCCCACCTTTTACCACGGTGCTGGTGGGAGCAGAGAAGGTAGTTAAAATGGGAGCCAGGGGTGCTCAGCCTCTCTTCCCTTCCATGCCTCTCTATCCCAGCCGGGGAGACACCATGGCTGAGCGGCAGAGCATCTGGGTTGTTTGCAGAAGACCCCAGGTTTGGTCTCCGGCACCTCCAGTTAAAAGGAATAGGCAGACGGGCGATACGAAAGGCTCCCTATCAGCCCGAGACCCTGCCGCGAGTCACAGTGGGCGAGGCTGAGCCAGACCTGGACATCATTGTCCAATATTGTACAAGGCAACTTCTGATGCTGCCATCGAGGGCAGAGTCTGGTACCTGTGGAGATGGAGCCAGTGGGAGGCGACGTCAAGGCTCATGCTGAGTTGGAACCAAAGGGCAGATTCAGGGTAGAGCATAGCGAGGTTCACCAGCAGGCACATGGTGGCGCAGCGGTCCGTCAGCATGTCCAGCATGGCGCCAAAGCGGGTGCCTGGGAAGAACAGCACACATTAGAATGGCAAGGGCGCTGTAAACCAATGGGAGGAAGCTATGCATACAGTAGAGACTGCAGCCACACGTCACCCGCCACCCATCAAAGCTTTAATGCATATATTGTGGCTTGCTATGTGCTTGACAGGCAGGTGACGGGCACAGGTGGCTGTGCTTCTGCTGTGAGGCCATGAGTTGTGTGGTCCAGGCAGGCACACTTGAAAACAACAGGTTTCGGCGTGCAGCTTACACAGACGGAAAGTAACGAGAGCCTTGTGAAACCTTCCCATCTCAGCAAGAAAAGCTCAGTCTATTTGGACACGCTTCCTTTTGGCTACAGTTCCGGATCTGGAGGGTTTTACCCAGAACCAGGTGTTATTCCTGCAGGTTTCTGGAAGGGAGGGTAAGGCAAAGAGTAGCACTGCGTTGCAAGAGGAAGTGGGGTGGGGCACATTGCACAAAGGAGCTAGGGCACAGACCCTCCTTCTTTGTGGCGGCTGCTGGCAGGGGAGGTTCAGGCAGGCAGCGCCTTGTTGCAGCAGCAGCAAAGTACAGATCTGAGGAGGGGTAAGACTGAGGGATAGCTCCTTGCTGGCTGCCACCCAGTGAGCTCAAACCTGAACCAAGCTTTGAGCCAGGGACCTTGTAGCTCATACTCTTAAGCAACATGGCAACCTCAGTCGTCTTCTGAGGACGGAATGCAGCTCAGCAGTGGGAGACATGCTGCCCACACAGGAGGCCTCAGGTGCATCCTCCAGCATCTTCAACTAATAAAGGGTCAGTTAGCCTGAGACTGTAGAGAGCTGCTGCCGTCATTCAGAGCAGACAGCGCTGAAATAGATGGACCAGTGATTTAACTCTGTGTGGAACAGCTTCATCTCCTCATATATGTGCTCCTGACTCTCTCTCTCTGTGTATATATATATTCAAACTGACTGCATTACACCACAACAAATTATTCCATACCACACAGAATGCATACATGCCATGCATTTAAAAGCACCCCAAAAGAATCCTGGGAACTATAGTTTGCCGCTCACGGAGCCATGTGCTTTCAGTGTATGGCTCGTATGAGCCACCCTGTAGCCCTCTCTGCCTCGAGGCAAACAAGCCTTACCTTGGTCCAGGGCCCGAGCCGCATAGCCATCGAAGGCATCAAGGAAACCACTTAGGAGGTAAAAGAAGGATGCTATTATGTGGGAGGTTGGCATAAAATAGAACGCAACAAAAGCGAAGATGATGCGGGCGTAACCTGCAAAGGACAAGGAAACAAAATGGAATCTTTTAACCCCTGGAATCTTTTAACCCCCAAGCCCTGCAGCCCCCCAGAAAACTGGGGAAATAGGTCATGCAAATTCTGGTTGGTTCCGCTCCTTTGCTACCCACAACCCCACCTCCCCAGATACCTAGGCAAGAGTCACTCAAAGATCAGTAATGTTTCCTTCAGGAGTGTTGAAGAGAAGGAGGAACAGACTCCCTATTTTAGAAACCCCCTTTTCCTCTTTTGTTTTTGGCACTGAAAGCTACAATCAACTGTGAGAAATGAAAGGGTCCAGGCTGAGCCTACAAGAGACAGGTGAGTCACTTGCCTGCCTGTCACATCTGATGTGGAGGAGACAGTCCTGATGCTGCTGCTGCTGCTGCTGCCTTCAGCTGCAGATTAACACTTGTGAAAATAACAGGGCAGGAAATAGACGGGAGTGTTGAAGCAGAAGGCCCGGAGGCAAGTCAAAGGAGGCGGGGAAGGGGCCGGAGCACCATGCACTTCTCAGCTTTTACCAAGCGAGATCAGACCAAAGGTCGATCTAGTCTGGCATCGGCACCCGGTTTTCCAGGCTGCATTCGGGAAGTCTGTAAACGGAGCATGTAGGCAAGGAGCCTTCACCCACCTGTGTCTGCCTCCCAGCACCGGGATTTGGAGCTCTACTGCTTCTGAACATCTCGAGAGGCCCAGAACTAGGTCATGTCTCCAGAACTAAGGCCAGGCCTGAGCATCGCAGCACCCCACCCTAAGCACGTTTACACAGAAGCGACCCCCCCTGTGCAGTTCAGCTGGGTTGATGAGGCTCTTCCCGGGGCTCATGGATTATACTGACCATGAGCCACAGCAGGGCTGCCTCGTCGAGATTAATGGGCGTGACTAAGGCAGGCCCCCATTCATTCCAGCCGGTCTACTCATTCAGGATGCGAACACACACACCATCCATTTAAAGCATCCTTAAAGCACATATGAATCCTGGGAAGGGTGGTTTGCGAGGGCTAAAAAGTCCGTGCCGGGTAAACTCCACTTCCCAGCATTTCGGGGAGGAGAAGCTGCGCGCTTTTAAGTGGATGGCGCGCACGCAGCCCAACGTGTTTCAGGATCGCAGCCTCCTCCTCTCCCCCGCCCGGCACCCCGGGGAACGTACCGATGAGGTTGGGGACGAAGAGGAAGATGTTTTCTTGCTTCATCTCGCGGCCAGCTGTTGCTCCGGCGGCGGAGCCTCCTTGCAAGCCCCGCTCCAGCCCCAAGAGCCGATGCAAAGCTCGGACCCCGCAGCGCCCACCCGCTGCAGGAGCCCCTCGTGCTCCGCCCGCTCTTTCTCGTCCTCACGACGGACTCGGAGGCTCCCGCTCCCCGCTTGTTGCCTTCCTGCTTCGGCCCAATGCACGCAGCTTCCCCCGGTTTCCGCAACCTTCAGCTACTCTGTTCAGGTTCGGAAAGGAAAATGTCTGCCTGTCTCTTTAAAAACCGCACTCCCGCCCCTTCCCCGAGGAAGAGGGACATTTCGGAACGCCAATGGTTTCGTCTCCATACGCTCCCCTGCCGGCTTTCGTTTTGGTGTAGCCCCACCAACAAGAAGCCGGGCTAGAAGGGCCACTTCTCCTCGTCTTCTTCCTGTGATTTATGGTTACTCCGCTCCTAGAGTAGTCGGAGGACCGAGGCTTCCGAAAAGCTCCATTTAGTAGAGAAAGTCTCGCGAACAGCCGCCGACATGGAGGTTGGCTTTGGAGCGCTTCCGGCTTCCCCTGGGGCGGCTCCTTCGCACCCTCCTGTTTTCTTATTGGCCAGTCAGAAAGTAGGGAAAAGGAACTGTTATTTCCCCACGCTAAAAGGCTCGCCAGATCCAGTGCTTTTGTATCTTTTGTATAGTCTTGATAGTAAGAATTGCTGTGCAAAAGTCTTTAGCAAGGAAGTGGCCGCCTTTAATAATATATCTTGCAATTGAAAGCAGAACTTTTACCTCGAGAGATCATATTTTTTCCTGTTTTGACAACAAACAAACGTGTTTTTTAATGAGTGGTATTTCTTAACGGGAGTGTGAAATAAATTTCGAAAACATGATTTGAATCGGTGGGCTTTCTAATCATTTCTTCTTTGGTTGATAAGAGTTTTATTTACAAGGTGCTGGGCGACTGAAGTTGCCACATGAAGGGGTAAAGAATCTTCAGATAAAATATGGTTGATTTTCAAATTCCATAGTTTTTGCTTTTATAGAGTTAATAGTGGCTACTGGCACGCTTTGGTATTGTTACAGATTATGGGTAGGCACCTAGTATTTATATCAGTGTGCTGACCTTTCACCAAGGCTATGTATGAATTTAACAGTAAATTGCCCATTGATGGCACTACGTATACAGTGGTACCTCGGTTTTCAAACCCGAGTTTACGGTGTTCAAAAACTGAAATGCTCATCAATAGAGATGTTCGAAAACAGAGGTACCACTGTGTGTGTGTGTGTGTGTGTGTGTGTATAAATCAAAATCACAAGCATGGGTCCAGCTAGGATTTGAACTCAGGACTCCTTGGCCAAGTCCAGCACTCAGTCCATTACACCACACCACCTCTTCTTTGCTAATCTGTGAACAGATATGCAGGCTGTACAGTATATGAATTCACTCATGTATATGCAATGGTCAGGGTTTTCACTTGTTTGTTCATTTGCATTTTATTCAAATATATTTTGGAAGAGGTGGCAGTGCCAGCTGCTTTGAGTGGTTCTTCAATCCCTTCATGGACAGAACCTGATGTTTACCCAGAATGCATCTTATGTCAATTAACCCAGCATGCTTTGCAGCTTTCCTCCCCTTCCCAATTCTGCTTGCTGTGATTATTGCAAGGATAGCCAACCTGGTGCCCTTCAGATTATAACTCCTAACAGCCCCAGCCAGCATGGCCAATGGCCAGGGATGGTGGGAACCATAGCTGACCAAAATCGGGAGGGTGCCATTTTGGCTCTCTCTGATGGAATGGGCGAGAGATGCATTGTCCTTTCCCCCTCCAGATCCTGGGGGGAAATGGGAGAGGGGTTCAAGCGGAGTGTTTATTATTCTCTCTTGTGAATACAGTGGGTCTGGAGCCAGGTTGATCAGGTGTCCTCAGACAAAGCCTCTGGCTGGTCGGTGTCGCTGTCCGAATTCTCTGGCTGAGGCGGATCCTTGCGCCGAGACACTTTGCTCAGGAACTTGCCTGGCCCACCCTGGCGGGACGGGCAGCAGATCAGGGGCTGTAGTGCAGGGAAGGAAGAAAATGAGAAGCAAAACACAGTTTCTAAGCCCCTCCTCCTCCACCACCCTAACACTGAAAAAGTCTGTTTCCTACTTGGCATAGAATGTGGCTATGATTATACCAAGGAATGTGATGATTTCTGGTCAAAAGTTCCCCAGCTCTGGACTTGGTCCAAAGATAGGTCCTGGGGTTAGGGTTGCCATCCTCCCAGACGGAAACAGACCTTGCTCTTTTACACGTTTCATATATTCATTGAAACACATCCAAAATTAAAGTTATCCCTGGCAACACAACTTCCCCCAAAGTTGGCAGTCCACCCCCAGCCATACTAGTATAAAACCCGTGACTGGAGTGTGGTGATGCTAAACGTTTCAGAATTTCTGAAAATAAGAAAGATGGAGTGTTCTATAGTCCCACGCATGAGGGAAATCCTCTTCTTTCTCCCTCCTCCCTCAGCCTGGATGTGGGCAGGAGTCACAGCCGATACTTGGGTGCATTCTGCACAGGTTGGGTCGAGGGCAGGAAAAAGAGAGGGAGGCTCCATAGAAGAAGAGATTCTGGCTTGCAGGAATGCAAAGACCCACATCTGCTGAAATTCTTGCTTTTGCATAACTATGAAGTATGGCAACCAGTGTGTTGGACTGGGGAGAGCTGGGTTCACATCCACAACAAGGCATGATGCTTGCAGGATGACCTGGAGGCCAGTAACAGTTGCTGTCGGCATAGCCTACTTTGCAGGGTTGTTCTGGGGATAAAATGGGAAAACCCTAGATTTGCATCTACAAATGCAACAGTCCGCAGCTTGCAGAAAAGATTCACTGTGTGTTGCCTCCCAAACTGTCAAGCAATTCTTCACAGCTTTAAGGACTCCAGTTAAAAGTTTGCTTGCTTTGTGGTATAATCAATGTAACCCTAGGGGCACCCTACTTCTTGTCTAGAGTTGTGACTCACAAGTCGTGGATGGGGCCTGGCAGGCTGTCCTCCCTCCCTCCCTTCCACATGGTCTCCTGTCCAGTCTCTCTTTGTCTGCTTAGAAAAGCAGAGATCAGCCGATGACAATGTTCCCATCAGTGCATTTCTACGCCAGGAAAAGCAGTACCAGTAGATTTGTAAGTCCTTGTAGTATAACTGTTAGACTTTAAAGTGTTGGGAGACCAAGGTTCAAATCCCGACTCAGCCAATGAAGCTCACTGGGTGATCTTGGGCCAGTCACTGCCTCTCAGTCTAGCCTACCTCACACGGTTGCTGTGGGGAGGGGATGGGAGGGAAGAACCAAGTACACCACCTTGAAATGCTTGTGGGGAAAGATTGTATATAAATGTAATAAATAAAGATTAGACAAACAAATCCTGCTCCTCTTGCCTCTACCACCTGTCCTCTCCAATTTCCCCTGGTGCCTTATGCCCAGAGAGTCAATACCTGAATGGTGTTGAGGTCCTGCTCAGATACTAGGGGAGAAAGCCCCTCCACGCCAGCCGAGGGGGACCTTCGGGGCCGGCGCTGGGTCACATACCCCATCTGATCTTCCAGAAGCACAGTCTCCACCTGGTAAGGGAAGAAAGCAAATAGGACTGAGGAAATGTCTGGGCATCTTCAAAGCCATTTTTCAGTCTTGGGAGTCGAAGCCCATGCTTCCAACAAACATACTACTAGTAGTAACAAATTCGAGAGATGACCTGTGTTAGGGTTTGCAGCAAAAACAACAGAAGGCCTTGTGGCACTTTGAAGACGAATAGATTCATTACCACATCAGTTTTCACAGTCTAGGGCTGACATCATCAGATGCAGGAGGAGCTGTCCTCAGCTGGCAGATTAGGCACACACAAACACACAAGTACAGAGGGGAAGACACCCCGCCCCCGTATTTAGGGGTGGGACCCAAAAGCCATTAAATGGAAGAGGTAGGGCCTGTCACGTTGTCACAGTATATTTCTATCTGCCTACTGAGGATACATTTCCTGCATTTGGTACAGTGGCTGCTAGTTCACAAAAGCTTATGCCACAAAATTCAGGCCTTAAAGTACCACACAAAACCCCTCTGGTTCTTTAGCGGGAGCCACAGAAGGGCAGTGCCACTGAGCACATGCAGAATCTCTCGCTCACAAGTTAGCGACCACAGGCAGCTTCCCAAATGCCAGATTCCTTAGGAAAAATAGGTTCCCAGGCCAGAACTCCAGCACCTTCTAGTTTAGAAATCAAAGGGGGGCAGACGAGCCATGCTTGGTCCATATTGGCCCCTGCTAGCAGCCACCTCTGTAGCAGGAAACTTGCAAACTCCTCAATGGGCTGACAGCATGCCATAAATCTGCAGTTTGGGTGGCTTGTCACTAGAAGCTGAGACCTGTCAAATGGAAGTCTTTTGAGTATCAAAGTGTGAAGGTTTGACCAGGGGCAAGAATATTGTATCCCGGAGGGGAAAGGAGACAAGGTAGTTACAATATCTAAAGGGATGGTTAAATGTGTCAGGAATATGAATGACAGAATGGAGACAGGCAATTCACAAAGTGTCATGAATGCTAAGTTAGAAACCATGCAAATTATGCAGCCCCTCCTCCTACGACATTTGTGTCTTTCTTGCCAAAGTGGCTGGACGCAAGTTTCAAAAGTAGCTCCCCACTTTGTTTGGGGTTCTTCTTCTTTTCTCTATTGTGGGAGGGGGAGATCCTGTTGCAACTGATCCATAAAGACCAGGCTCAGCATCCAGCCTGGCTTTCTTATATGTGATTAATGTCTCCATTTATTTCTCTGACCAATAGCGGATCTCAGGGGATCCAAAGTAGCTGGGTTGCAAAAGTCAACCCTGATTTCTATAATGATATGAAACAGCAGTTTGAGGGCACGTACTTGCTTATGGCGTGAGGGGTTTCGCCCTCGAATCTGCAGAGACAGACCCTCCTCTTCCTCTGTGCAGTCCACATCCTGCTGTGGGAGAAAAGGGATGGATGGAAGGGGGGGAGCCAGAAGCAACGCCCCTCCCCACTCATGCTCTACTCTTTCTTATTGGGCCCCTCCACACTATTTCATAGGATCTCCAAAGTGCTTCCTGCTATTTCCATGAGAAAAATATATATTTGGTTTTACAAGTGTAACGATACAACAGTACCAAGTACATATTCATATTTAGAGATTTCTCAGAATCTCCAGACTTCCCACCATCCCCTCCCTGGGTCCTATTGTCAACATTTTCAACTGCGTATTATTTTATAATCCATATTTTATATCTCTTCATATTGTCCATAGTGTTTCTTACATTACAAGTGTTATTAAAACCCTGCTAATGTTTTCATCTGCTTACAGTGGTCTCCTAAATAAATTAAACGTTTTGCTTCCTGTTATTTCCTGATTCCCCTTAGCCCCTCCTACTTCAGATTAAGCCCCACCCACATCACTCAGCTATCAGGCCTGCTGCCAGCTGTGCCGGACTCAGGGCCCACAGCTGATATTTCCCTTTATTATTAACAGTGATAATTAAATCTATATACCACCCTCCATCCAAAGATCACAGGGCAGTTTACAGCATAAAATACAAAAAGAAACACAAAATGCATATCACAACAAAAGGGGGGAAAGCCAGTCACCCTATCCCGCAAACACATTAAAAAGGCCATAGATTGTTTACTCAGCCAAATGCCTGTTTATACAGAGTTATTACATAACACAGGTGAGAGACGCCCCTGGCACTTTTCTGGTCTCTACCTTCCTTTGGTTCCCTGTTCTGTTTTTTTATGGACAACTGGATCTGGAAATCTTGATTTAAAATTGAGAGTACCAACAACTGCTCTGAGGGGAGGGGTTTTAGGAAGGCAGACAGGGAAAAAAAGAGAACCCAGAGCTTGCTCCTGTGGCAGCTGGACTGTCCTCTCCCCTCACGAACAACCTCTTTTTTTTAATCGCTAATTTCTGTCGAGAACACAGTTGAGGAGCAAATGGTTAAATTGCACCTCCCCATCTGCTGTGGTCATAATATATAACCACCTCCCAGCACTACATTTAACAAATATTCTGACATGGCTGCAAGCATGGGCATAGCTAGGGTTTTCGTTAGGGAGTGGCAGACCTCCTGTTAGTTGGGGGGCAGAACCTCAGTTTGCTATGTATTTTTATTGATTTTTATTGATGGGGGGGGGGCAGCTGCTCCTCCCTGCCGCCCCTCGGCTACGCCCATGACTGCTAGCCTAGACCCTGCTTGGCTTTGAAGCTGTAATGCATCCCAGCATGTGCCGAATGCCTTCCTCTCATCAGAGGGCAGATTATAACCAGCCCCTGCTCATCAGATATTGGGGATGGGACCCCCCACAAAACCTTTAGGTTGAAGACCACAGGGGACGCATATCACTCACTCTTTCACAGGCACAAGAGGATATGAAGCACCGGAAGTCATGACCCCCTCCTTGAAGGCCATCATCGCTAAGGTCTGGTCTGGAAAGAGTTGCATAAAATTAAAAGCATATATATATATATATATATATATATATATATATATATATATATAGTGTGTGGGTGGAATTGTAGAGTTGGAAAAGACCCTGAGGATCATCATCTAATCCAACCCCCTGCAATGCGGGAATATTCAGCCATCCCATACGGGGAATGAACCTGCAACCTTGGTGTTATCAGCACCACGCTCTCCCCAACGTTAAGATGATGGGTTTGCCCCACAAGGGCCTCCCACAAGGTCACTCACGGACAGGTGAATTCAGAGCCTGGGCTGGGTTCTCTTCTGGCTGGGAATCCTGGCTTGCACTTCAGAACAGGGTGCAGGAGTGCTGCAAGGCAGGAGTAATGAGTGGGGTAGCTTTCTTTAATGATTTATATATCCTGCACCTTCAACACAAATTTACATGTGCAGAGCTGCTGGCAAGGCAGTAAGAAGCAAAAGTAAAATGTTTAATAAAGATAGCGATTAATTATTATTATTATTGCCCACAAGTTATTACAGCAAACTTAAACAGCAGCAGCCCACTGAAGAAGAGAGTAAAATTGAACTGCACTAAATTAAAAATGGTAACATTAGCAGCTCTTTAAAAAGAAACCTGGGAAAACAGAAATAATACTTCTGCTAGGCCCTAAATGGTAGGACCCACCATATTCGCTTGACTGTAATTAATTTTAACATTTTAATATTGTATTTCTAAAGCTCTTGTAACCTGCCTTGGAATAACATGGTGAAGTGCAGAAATACGGTGAGCAATGATAATTCTAGCAACAAGAGCTCCAGGCAGGCCTCCTCAGGGGGAGTACAGTGGTACCTCGGTTTACGAACTTCATCCCTTCCAGAAATCCGTTCTTAAACTGAGGTGCGCTTTCCCTAATGAGGCCTCCTGCTGCCAGTGCCCTTCCACCGTTCAGATTCCATTCTCAGACCGAGGTAAAGTTCTCAAACCGGGACACTACTTTCAGTTTTCAAGAGTTCGTAAACCGAATTGTTCATAAACAGGACTGAGGGACCACTGTATATCCCACAGTTGAGGGGCCACCCATGAAAAGGCTCTGTTGCTCCATTCACTGTGCCACATGTCATTTGAACCCTGCCTACTCTCTCTCTCAGTAGCCCCCCCCCATTCTTATGGAGACCTCACCCACTGAATTCTTAGCTTCACGCAGAACCTGAAGTAGGTGAAGATATGGGGTGTGACCCCCATAAGAATGGGCGGGGCTACTGAGGGTTTAGGCAGGATCCAGATGGACAGCGACAGAGACGGCGGGTGTCCAGGCAGAAAACAAACTCCCAGCAACAGGGATATTGATACTGACCATTTTCTGTACGTCGGATGATGGTGCAGAATTCAGAATAGGGTAACGGGGGCTCTGTCAGGAGCTGGAAGAGCCCTTGGTAGTCAGGGGGGTTCAGGAACCCCAAAAGTCGCTCAGCCAACCCCCGGGCTGCCATGTAGCTCAGCCGGGCCTGGGCCAGGGACTGTTCTGCATGGAAACAAGCGAGCTGGAGAGAAGGCAGAGGGGGACAAGTCACAGCTATGCAGGCTTTGAGCCCCACACAATTGTCTCTAGAAGCCATGCCAGGCCCCAGATACAAAAGATTCCTACATAAAACTGCTATAAAAAGAGCTAATTTTTGTCACTCTTAACTGTGCCATGGGTCTTTTATAAATGACAATTTTATTCATTTATTTTTAAATCTTGCATACTGATTTATTTACAAATTTTACATATCTTTTCATTTATAAGCTTACAAATCTCAAAGAAGGCCACAATGCACAAAAACTATTAAAACCCACAAATAACCACTGAAATGTCAACATACTCTTATAATTGCAGCAACTCCAACAGCCTGAACAACAACAACAAAAAACAGTCAGGAAATGCCCAAGAAAAAGGAAACGTCTTTAACTGTCTTTGAAAGCACCCTATTGTTGGGTGCTTGCTTGATCTCCTTCCACAAAATGGGTGACACAGTGTAAAAGCCCCCCTCCTTTGACACTGGCAGCAAAAGTGCTGAAGGCTGGTTGTTACACACCTGTCACAGTGGCTGTGTACACACACCTTACATTTAAAGCGCATTACTTTCCCCAATGAACCCTGAAGTTTGTTAAGTGTTCAGGGCATTGGATGGAGCCAGTGTTAGAATATGTGTGTGGGGGTTCAGGGTTCAAATCACCCCTCAGCCCAAGGTTGGGTGTCCTGGGCTAGAAACTATCCTTCAGCCAGGCTTCCTCAAACGTGGCCCTCCAGATGTTTTTGGCCTACAACTCCCATGATCCCTAGCTAGCAGGACCAGTGGCCAGGGATGATGGGAATTGTAGTCTCAAAACATCTGGAGGGACAAGTCTGAGGAAGCCTGCTTCAGCCTAACTCCCAGGGTACTCTCTGTGTGCAAAGGCTGAGAAATGATATTGGGAGTTTTGAGCAAGAGAACTATTTCTCTCATTCAGTCTCTCCAATACTGGTCATTCCTAGAGCCTGGGCTCGAGTACCTGAGCAGACTTTTGCGCTTCCACAGAAGCCTGGACCATTTTGGCAGTGCCGGCCACAGTGTTCACCAAGTACTCAGCCATGGCCTCCGATATTCTGGGTGCAAAGCCAGTTGGGGCAGCTTTATCGTCCTGAGGAGGGCTGTTCCTGGGGGTGCGACAGCTCTCTTCCATTTTGGATCTAAGAAAGAGAGAGAAAGATGGACACTGGGCAGAGAAAGGAATGTGTAATTGGCGTTAAAAAGAAGTAGGAGCAAACAGCGGCTGAAATAATCCATTTCAGAAGCAGTTGTTGGGCCATGAGGCTTGACTCTTCTATCCAGAGCACGAACCGGAGCCATTTCTCTTTCTCTCTACTGGGCCTGAAGAAGATGATTCTGAGCTAGAGTATCTTTTATCATTCACTGAATTGCCAGAACACATGATTTTGAACTCGAGACATGTATCCACAACATGTATCGTTAATGCTAATACTATGGGAAGATCAGCACAGTGTTAGTCGTTAGAGGGTTGGGCTAGGACCTGGGTTCAAATCCCCGCTCAGCCATGAAGGTCACTGGGTAATTTCGGGCCAACCACTGCCTCTCAGCCTAACTTGCCTTACAAGGCTGTTGTGGGAATTAAATGGGGTCAGGGGAAACCATGTACACTACCTTGAGTTCCTTAGAGAAGAAAGTAAGATATAAATGCAATGAACTAAATAAAAAAAGATGAGCCCATTGCTTGCCATTTATTCTCACATGAATCTCTCCAGTGACTGAGATCATTTAAGGAGGCCCAAGGCTAAGGACTTTCATCTTACCAGCAATGGGGGCTTTCTGACTAGAGACATTTCAATGATGTAAATCTCCGCTTTTCTGCTTGCCGAAAAATTTAACACCAGGTAAAGATGAGCTTGCTTCCTCAGGCACTTCATGGCTTTTGAAATGGCTTTGAGAAATTCACCCCTGCAAGTGCACTCCATTGTCTTTTGAGATGGATGGATGCCAGCCACAACCGCGAGAGATCCAGCCACTCTAAACTGTTCCCATCTATGGCTGGTTGAGGACACAATTTGTAGTTTAGCTATCATGTATTTTAGACTGACGTTTTAGAACCTACACTGTCTTAGATTCCTTTTTAATTATCAAAGGATGGGATAAAAAAAACTTTAAATATATTGGGGAGAAAGATCATAAGTCTTCATTTCTGGTGTCCCCATAAAAAAGTAAGTTAGCATAAGTTCATATTTGCAATAAGTGTGGCTTTCAAAGGCTTCTGAGACCCGTCTCTGAAGCAATTTGTTGTTGCTTTTGTTTCTTAATATTATTTTCTTACATTTGTATCCCATCACGGAACACAAGGTGGCATAAGGGTGGTCACCTAGGACCAGGCCCAAACCTTCTCAGCTTCACGACTCAAAAAATACCCATCACTGAATTTTTGCAGGCAACACAGAGCTCCTTGGGAAAACACAAGATTTGCCCTTCCTTTAACCAGCAGGTGCAGACTATTGTATTGGGAGAAAGCAGAGTTACAGAAAGAAAGAAGTTACAGACTTCTGCCTTCCCTGAGGGCAATTTTTGTTCTTAAAGCAGGCAGTACCCACAAGCTTCTCTCTTGTTTAGGACTAGTGCTGGGAATTAAGATGTAAGTCCACATACCTCTTTACTCCCCGCCCCCCTTGCTTGCAAATGTGATATGAGCAGAGTACTGCCAATTTTCTGCTTGCTTTGTGTGTGCATGTGTCCACGACTAAAAATGCAGAAACAGGGTAAGAGGGACTGACTGATGGGAGGAGGCACTCTCAGGGGCAATCGCAAACTTGATGTAGCTCCTGGTGCACTTCTGGAAACCACGTAGCCTGCAACTAATGACATCCTGTATGGTAAGCGGGATAAAGGGCAGGGCACCAGTGAGTGCACTGCTTTAACTGGGATAGGTAGACAACGCTCCCTTCCATTCCACATCCCTACACAGATAAAGTAATTCTGACGTGCTGGATTTTGTCAGCTGATTCCACTGTGCCCAACATTAAATGGGAGTCTGATGTACGAAGAAGGGTGTTTGCTAGGTGGCTTAGGAAGCTGCTCTTGTGAGTCAGGTCTACTTAGTTCGGTACTGTTTACACTGACTGGCAGCATGGCTTGCAGGGTTTCAGGCAGGGCGTAACTTCTGCAAGTCCTACCTGGATTTGCGACGGATTGAACCCACGACCTCATATGCTCAGCCAGGTAGCTACAGCCCAATGACACAAATTCTCAGATGCTACTACAAAGTACTGCCTCTGAACAAATTAAAAAGAGGGTAAGTGCCTGGGGTCTTACCAACGCTATACTTTACAGCATTCCCAGCTGCCTTGTAAACAAAGTTTTTTTAAAAAAGGAAAAGGAGAATTTTTTTTTGAGGCACCCTCTAGCAATGCCTCTGCAGCCCACACTTAATGGACAGGACTCTCTCACTGAATACGAATGTGGTGGCCTGGAAATTGAGCAAGTGGAAACACAATGTGGCTTAGTGGCAAATGCCCTTCCTATTCAGGGGACTTCACCTTCACACCTCCCATTTTCTATGCAGAAAAGGCCCTTGAGTTCTGTTAAGATACAAACCATCAGCCCCTTCCTTCCCTTTCAAGCCCTGTCCTGTGGGGGTAGGATGCAACCAAGATGCTCCTTCAATTGGTAGCCAACTGCCAGGGATGCAGTTGCCATGGGAATGCTTCCAGAGCCCAGTTGCTAGGCGATGGAATTCCTTGTAATGTAAGAGGGTTGAATGTTTCAGAGGCAGAACAGGGCAGACCAGCAGAGGCTGAGATGGAGCACATATACAACAGCAGGCTTGTGAGTAGGGGAAAGAGGGTCTTTCAGAAGGAAATGCAGCCTTCTGTTATTATCAGATAAGTGAACACACACACATACATATATATTTAGATACGGCTAGTGGTCACTTGAATTCAACTTGCTTCTGAGCCCAAGAATATATTTTTTTTCCAAGTCTGAGAAGGAAGGAATATAGATTTAGGGAACTCAAGCACAATAATTGTTGTTCAACATCTTTATACAGTAAATGACTTGGATGAAGGTATTGAGAGGATGGTAATCAAATCTGCCGATGACGCCAAACTGGGACAGGTAGCCATGCCGCTGAAGACAGAATCAGGATTCAAGATGACCATAGCAAACTAACAAAATTGATTTGAATAGGGACAAATGTCAGGTTCTACACTTGGGCAAGAACAAGCAGCTGCAAAAAATATAAAATGGAGGACACCTGGCTTGCCAGTAGTACATGTGAAAAGTATCTAGGTGCCTTAGTAGACTGCTCAACATGTGTCAACAGCCTGATACTGCAGGAATAAAAGTTAATGTTATTCTAGGCTGCATCAACAGGAGGATACTGTTCTGATCAAGAGAAGTCGCCCCCCCCCCACTCTATTCTGCTTTGGTCAGACCACACCTGTTTCCAGTTCTGGGCACCACAATTTAAGGACACTGACAAATTGGAACGTGTGCAGAGGAGGTTGACCAAGATGATAAAGGGTCTGGAAACCAAGCCTTATGAATTCCACATGGTAGGATACATATAGACAAAAGTACCCGTTGTTGTTGTTGTTTAGTCGTTTAGTCGTGTCCGACTCTTCGTGACCCCATGGACCAGAGCACGCCAGGCACTTCTGTCCTCCACTACCTCCCGCAGTTTGGTCAAAAAGTACCCGTCAAAGTACCCGTTATTCCAGATTAATTCAACTGAGTGACCACTACACTCATGGTTGTGTATACAATAATGACGTTAATATGTTTCAGGAACTCCACCCCACACGTAAACATGACTTGAAAGGAGTCAGAATCCTTTAACCTCCCTGTATGTGTATAAAATGGGGGCTACTGACGTATTAATCAGTTATCCAGACATTAAAAAAAAAAACTTTAGCATCTTGTCCCATGGGAACCTGGGTTGGATAAGATCTTGATGCCTTGACCTCATTCCCTCTCAAAACCCCAAAGAGACAGAATACTTTTTTTTTAATAGTCAACATTTTTATTAAAAGATTTCTCACCCCACCCCAAAATCTCTCCTACTGGTAGCCCTCTAGAGAGCAACCAGTTCCATCGTTGTGTTCTCTTTCCAGTTTTTGCTCTCCCAAGTAAGATTCAAGATCACCCACCCCGTTCCTGTTTGTTTTTAAAAAGTGTTTTATTTTCTAATACATTCCATAGGACACATATGTCTAAGTTCCCCCCCGCCAACATTTTTTCTTCATATATAAAAAAAGACATACACACATACATACACACACTCACATTAGTTTTTAATCACCCACACAGAGGGAGACAGGAAAAAAACCGGGGAGGGGGAGGGGAGGAAAGCGCAAAAAGAGAAAAGAAAAAGACTGGAAGAGGTAAACTGTACATGGGGAAAGTTATGGCACCAAAAAACAGAAATATTTTTTTAAAGCAAAAGGATTAATTATTATAATACATCAAGCCCCTCCAGCCCACCCAAAACCCCATTTCCCAATCCCAGGCAGGCAGAAATCACTAACTGAACACCTTGAAGTAACAAAAGATCCCATTCAGTTCTCCCCTCCCACCCACCCCCAACCCCTCTGGTTTAAAACAGTGGCCTTGTTCAATCACAAAATTAGCTTGAGGAACTTGAAGAGGGTTCTGGGAGAGGTCTGAGAAGTTTAGATAGGATAAATTTATGGTTGTCGCCAAACCAGTGCCCTTGGGGTTGGGTGGGTGGGGGACAGGTGTGGGCAGCACCGTTGGTGAGGAAGGAGGGGGGTTTTAATAGGGTTGTGTGTTGTAAAGGACAAGACTTACTTCAGCTGCTTACAATGGGAAAAAATGATTCAGTTCCTGGCCCAAATATGAGGGCGGGAATCTAAGAAACTACAATGTCTTCCACAGATAAAGAAGGACTACACCACATTTCCCGCCAACAGATGGAAAATTTCTGCTTCCAGATCTTCCCTGGCTCGTTTTACTACTTGTGATAATTCCGTAACCCATTTCTGCTTTCCAGGAACATGTGGCTCTCCTTCGCTTCCACACACAACCCTTCGGACTTTCCTTCCATCACTAGTGAGAAATGGTTTCTAGAGCTGTGTGCTCTACCTATGAGATAAAAAAAAGTTTTCCCTGGTCTCTAGGAGCGATTTGTGAGATGTGGAAGTTTTGTTTCACGTTTCAAAAGAAGAAAGCTTGGATTTCCCCAGTCTTCCTGAAAAAAGGGGTTTATGTGGCTCCTTTTGTACTATTAGTCAATGTAATGCCAACCCTGCTGGCTGATCCTTGGGCTTAATTGACACAAACAGCTGGTAGAACTTCCTACACTGTCCCACTTCAGAGAGCCAACATGGCCAAATGCTTCCAAATGGGAAACAAGAAACAGCTATGCATTTAACAAAGCCAGTGTGCCAGGAGAAGGCTACCCTAGAGATCATCTTCCCAGCTTCCAATTTTCACGTAAGCAGCAGGGGTATTTTTTAAAATATGGGTTCAAATGGTACAGTTTGATCACAGCTCTTCACCTGCTGTGGCCAAGAGTTTAGTATTCCTCCCTACATGGTGAAAACTTTGAGAGATGGTTCAGAACAAAACGAAAAGGGGAAGACGAACCTCTGAAAGCTAACTTTGCACAATAGTTATCATACATGATTTCAACATGATGCCGCCCCTCCCAATTGGGCTCCAACTCAGAAGAGCTTTGAACATGCAAAATGCCACCCCCCCCCCAAAGTCCTCCTTTAGCTGGCCAGAGTTGAAACAGCCCACTTGCAAAACTCCCTTCCCTCTTAGCTGGGCAAACCACCCCAGCGACTTCAGGAAGTGTTCTCTATTGACTGGTGGGATATGTAGGTCTGACTCATATAAATTATAGCTCTAGAGGAACTAGAGGTTTGGTGCTTAAGTACAGGAGGAGGAGAGGAGGGCAACTGGTCACAGATATATAGTTTGCCGATTCTGACAGGCTGACCCTGATCCCAAACCCTGGGTAGCAGGCCTTGGGGTTTGTTCATACTGGGTATTATGTAACCAAATAAGTTTTTTTCCAGGGGGTAGGAACGGTTCTGGGTGTGGGGAGAATGTATAGGAAGGAGATGGGTTGAAGGTGGCTTCTGAACCGACAGGTGTCCTTCATTCTGCTGGGCGCTCAGATTCTGCAGCCGATCTCCTGCATGCAAATACGAACTCAGGGCTGCAGATCTGGCGAGTCTAAACTGGGCAGGTGGGGTGCATGGGAGCGATGCTGAAAAGTGGCTGGAGGACAACGGGAATGACAGGAGGCGAATTTGTAGGGGGGGGCACGGTGGTTTCTGGGAGGAGGAGGTGGCTTAAGGGAGCAACCGGGTGCAACAGAAGGAAGCGACCCTCCAATGCCCTCGGCCAGGGAGGGAGCCTGACCTTCCAGAGGTTGTGGCTGGGCCAGGAAACTAAATTTAATGCTCAGGACTGGGTGGCAGAGGGAGGCCTGCCGTTCAAAGTCCCTCTGGGTGGCAAGAGTGGTGGGGCGGTCTTTCCTTCAGAGGGGGGAAAGAGATGTAATCCATGTGGGTAAGGTGGTGAGTATTAACACAAAAACACATCCCTGGGCTGGCATGGGCTAAAATCCGCGTCTCAAAACAGACATATGGGGCGGGTATGTAGAGGGCACCGTTTAAAATCTACATTCTGGTTCATGACAGGAACGTGAGGCCTGGTTCCGGAACCTCTTTCCCCGCTCCATCCCGTGGGACCAGCCTGGCGCCGTGACAGGAGGAGCTGGAGGAGGCCGCCTCTGTGAGAAATGGGGCGATGCAGATAAAGAGCCCAGAGCAGCTTGCAATTTACAATTCCTTCTCCAGCCACAGACTGTGGTGAGGTAAGGAAGGTTCTGGGAGCTGAGAACGGTCCAGAAACAACGGATTTCGGTTACGGTCGCCTGTGAACTCGGGCAGGATGAGAAGCCACTGTCCAGGCCTCAGGAAGGAGGCAAAGTTCTTTCACTGTCAGTCTGGTAATTCTATGCATGCACCGATCGGCCGCCACCAATGGCAATCCAGGGTTCTCCCAAAATCCACGCCCGTTAATTTCTCTCTCTCTCTCACTGCCTGAACTGATTGAAAGGAACCATGATGCAGGAGACACAAAACAGGCTCTCCCGAGCGCATCAGCTCTGATTGCAGCGTGTGGGGCAAGCTATGGATGCACAATCAAGAATTCTGGATTTGCTGCGATGTGGGGGGCCTTTCTCCCCACCCGCCCCTCGTCCTGGGAATATTCAGCCACATCCTGAAGACACAATTTAGCCTCTGCTGCCAGGGCACCGCTCTCTGCCTCTCTCCATCTACAGATTGTGGCAACGCTGGGGGAAGCGGCTGACAACCACCAGGGACGCAAAAAAACCGATTGCCAACGTCACGTTCACAAGCTTCGGTGTCTCCATCCATTTGGCGGGGGATAGGAAACCACGATCTGAGGAGGAGGCCCCAGCCATGCTCCAGAGGGCATGAGTGCAACCTTCCGCCGCACAGTCCAATCTTCTGTGTCTCTGCGCTTGCAAGGTGGGTGGCAAGTCAAAGGCCACAGATGACGACTGAGGAGCCTTCACACTGCAGTTCGGTTTCTCCCAGTTCTAGCTTGCTGAGCCCCGGCAAACGCGCCGCCCCCCTGCCTCCTCCTCCTCCCCTCCCCCTTTCCACCAGCCAATTCCCCCGTCTCCCTCCAGCAAAGTTTCCCTGTTCTCTCCCCATCGCCTCACGAGTAGGAGAAGTGCGACCCGTTGAGGATGTGGGAGGTGACACTGGCCGAGCGGCTGATGCCCTGGTCCGACTGGCCTCCAGAAGCTGTGCGCCGCAGCGGCTGGGGGCTGTTCCTCAGCATGACCACATTGGAGCGGCCCCCAGGGGCGGATGACGTGGAGGAGGAGGAGGAGGAAGGGGAGGAGGAAGGAGGGTGGAGCCAAGCCGAAGGGGGCGGGGCAAGCATGGGGGGCTGCCGCCACGCGTGGGGGGCCCCGGCTGTGTTCTGGACGCCGTGGCTCCAGTGGGAGCCGCTGCGGGGGACGGGGCGGGAGGGCCAGGGCTGAGGGGGGGCAGTGTAGCCTTGGTTGAAGGCTTCAGCTGGAATGCCTGTGAGCGCCATGTTGCTGAAGCCCAGGCGCATGCTCTCCGAGTCGAAGGCCTCAATCTCCCGGGCTTGGCGCTCCAAGAGGCTCCGGATGCGGTCAGATCGCTCATTCTGCAAGGCCAACATCTCCTCTTCGATCTAGAGGGTGAAAAGGCAAAAAATTTAAATAAACACATACACACCGAGCGAGTGAGTTTAGAAGGGAGATGGGGAGCCGACAGCCATGAAGGTTGTTTGCTGGACTACGTCTTCCATGCTAGCAGTTTAAAACCCTTAGCACAGAGCAAGCATTTTGGCAAGTTCTTTTTGTAAGACTCTGCCACGCTGTTA